ACGAGCTCTGACTGCATCTAATATATGCAGTGGATTTGCTGCATCAGGCCTGGTTCCATATAAGCCAGAGCAGGTGCTTGACCAGCTTCATATTCAATTGAAAACACCTACACCACCAGGCACATCCTATAGCAATCAGTCATCTAGCTGGACTGCTGAGACACCAAAGAATGCTAGGGAGCTAGAGAAGCAGTCAGAGCTAATCAAGCGTCTTTGGCGGCAGCATACGCGGAGTCCTCCCAGTCCAATTAGTCAAGCAGTTGATCAAGTGGTCAAGGGCTGCCAAATCGCGATGAATAATGCAGTGCTTTTAGAGCATGAAATCAAGCAGCTACGTGTGGCCAATCAACGTCAAAAACGCAAGCAAGAGACAGCTAGATCCTATATTGCTACCGGGGGGATTTTAACTGCTGAAGAAGGCCAGCAGCTTGCTCAGCAAGCTGCAGAATTGCAGGCAGAGGTAGCTGACCAAGCTGATATGCAGCCTAGAAGACGTGCACCACCGCGGTGCAGCAACTGCAATATTCAAGGTCATACTAGGGTCAGCTGCCCTAGTAAATAGGCAATTATTTTACATGTAAATAGCTTCAATTTAGGGGTGGTGTGGTGAGATAATTAGATATCTAATAATAATGGCGTTGGTGGGTGTTTCGCTCGGTGATCTGTTTCGCTCGGTGATTGATTACGTTAGAGATATAGACTGACTAAGCTGGACACGGCAAGTCCAGCCGGGAGGATTCAACCTAAACAAATAAAAATTAATATGCATTTTTTAATATATTAATGGATTATTCTTATTGGCGGATTGCCCTCTTCGTGAAGCAAGTTTGCAGCGGTGATGATAATGATTGAGTAGCTGAGTGGATAGATCTTATCGAGATTAGGTAGATTGATGATCTACTGCTGATCTGCTGATCTGCTGATCACTGAGGTGTCTGTCGAATACGCTATCGTATTCGTCTCCACAGTAACTACTTCGTACTACAGCTAGCTAGCTAGGTCAGCCTCAGCATCGCATCACTCCTATACAGGATATACGGATATACATACGGAGTACACCCCACTTTTGCTGGCTGGCTATGTTAAATATTATGATTGGTTCAGAACAGCTATATTCCTCCTCACTATTGGTCGGAATTCCTCTACTATTCAAGCTTCCCTAGGTACCATTTTATCAGCTTTTAACTTGCTTGCTCGCTTGCTAGCTTGCAATGCCAAGATGTAGTATCTCTACGGAGTAGATCAATTTTTGCGACTGAGTTTGAGTTCATATCATTACTATTACTAAAATAAATCCTTCTTTGGATCCACATCACATCAGTTAGTTAGCCAGCTAGCTTCCAGTATAGAATTAGAATATATATGTGTGTATGACATAGTTGTAAATTCATTTAATTAGCGAGTTTTTTTGAGTATATACAAGTTAGGAAAAGAGCAAGTTTGGCTAGCTGGCTGGCTGGATGCTGCAGACCTGGCAGAAACAGGACGCAAGGGACAGACAGACAGACAGACGCATTATTACCAGAAAGAGGTCATGCTCCAAAAATTAAAATGTCTATTTGACTGATTACAGTGACATACCATGCAGTTTCAATTAAAGGATAGATAGATCCACGAGAAGGTCTGTTGATTCGAGGCTATCGACAGGGCTGAGACAAATTTCCTATATATGTACAGTATGTACATACAGTACGTACAGTACGTCATAGGCAATATGACAAACTCCAGTTGTTCCAAGATGATTACGTATGTATATCATATTATATATATACGTGATGATAGCCTAGCTGGCTATCATCTATCTGCCTGCTTGGCTGGCTGTCAGTCGATGACAGACATGTCCATCCACCCTCTGATCAAACCCATCGATGGATCTGTGACACTAGTTGTGCAAGATGGAGCCAGCACTAGATACATCGTACTGTACAGTACATGAACAATGGCACTTCACGTCACATGCCTCGAATGTTCTCGTCTGGGGACTAAAGCAATGGCACGCAACTAACTTGACGGCCCTCATTTCGGATAATCCTTCACATGGTAGCTCTTCAGCTTCACAAACTGGTCGAATCCAAACCTGCTCAACGTCACCCCGCGTCCCGAGTTCTTCCAGCCGGTCCAGGCGAGGTCCTATCAGGAGTATCTGTCAGCGAAACCTGTTTGAAGCGGCGAGTAATGACGTGCTTACCGGGCTTGGATAGTCGGCCCTGTTGATAAAGACCGTCCCTGCCTCGATCTTCTCGATCAGCTTCTCGGCAGCAGCCACGTCCTTGGTCCACACGCTCGCCGTGAGCCCAAACTCGCTATCGTTCATCAGCCGGACGGCTTCTTCATCGTCCGTGACCTTCATCACCGGAATGACCGGCCCAAACGTTTCTTCCGTCATGACGACCATGTCGTGCGTGACGTCGGTCAGCAGCGTCGGCCGCACGTAGTTGCCCTCCGGGGGCAAGTTTTTGAACGTCTCGTTGTCCGGCGTTTCGTCCTTGGCGCCCTTCTGCAGCGCATCGGCGATGTGCGCCAACACGGTCTCCTTGGCGCGCTTCGAGATCACCGGGCCGATCTGGGTCTTCGGGTCGAAAGGGCCTCCGACGCGGTACTTGCTCAGCACGTTCTTGACCTCGTGCACAAACTCGTCGTAGATGCTCTCGTGCACGTAGACCCGCTCGATCGCGCAGCAGCTCTGCCCGCTGTTGAAGATCGCTCCGTCGACGATCTGTTCGGCAGCCCAGGCCACGTCGACGTCGCTTCTCACGTATGCGGGATCCTTGCCGCCGAGCTCCAGGCCGACGTTGACGATGCGGTCCGCGGCAGCCTTCTGCACGGCCAATCCTCCTGCCACGGAGCCGGTGAAGCAGATGTGGTTGACAAGAGGTGACCGGACGAGGGTCTCGATCTGCGCAGGGGATCCACAATGCAGGTACTGAATGACGTTCTTGGGGAGGCCAGCTTCGTAGAAGGCCGATGCCACCTGCTCGACGACCGTTGGCGTCTGAGGAGAGGGCTTCAAGATGACGGCATTTCCGGCGAGGATGGCAGGGATCAAGCTGTTGACCAGAATAAGGTAGGGGTACTTTTGCAGTGTTAGCAAGCAAGGCAGTAGCACGCAAAGCAGTAGACAGGAACAGCAATTCTCAACGCGAGAGACGTACATTCCATGCAAAGATGATCAACACCACCCCGACAGGCTGCCGCTTGATGTACCTCTTGAAGCCTGCCTCTGCCTCGCCATGCACAATCCCCTCTTCACCGAGAATCGAGCCGCTCACGCGGTTCAGGAAGGTCCCTCGCTTGACGGCGGTGGCGATCTCAGTGGGCGTGTAAGCGATCGGCCGGCCCATCTGCTCGGTCAGCTCGCGCGCCAGGACATCCTTCTTCTTCTCCAGGATCTCCAGGGCGCGCGCGACGATCTGCTGGCGCTGTTCGAGGGTGGTCGACTGCGAGAACGAGCGGAAGGCCGCCTGGGCTGTCTCGGGCAGGACGGCGAGGTCTGCCGGTGAGATGGCCGGGCGAGTCAGGACGGGGGCATTGGTGGTGGGGGAGATGGTCGTCAGAATTTCCGCAGACATGGTGATGAGTAGTCGAAGATGCAGCAAGCAGCGCTGCAGAGATTGCAATTGATCGAGAAAGTAGAGTCGTACAGAGTCTATGTGGAGTTAGATAACAAAGCCCCTCCACGTTAGCTGCCCCGCGGTACCAGAGCGGCTCCACCTGATTACAGTAATCGGTACGCAGTATACTATACTACTACATGCACTTCGATATGATTCAACATATGAAAGCCACTTTGCGATGGAACTGCTACATTCTACTACAACAATCTGACTCCAAGATGAGATACATGCCTGTTCCACCAACGCCACACAATCTTGTAACGCCATCTCGAAGCAACATTAACCAAAGACGAGTCAATCAATGCCAGTAACAACACCTCTGTAATCCATTCCTTCCGTCGTCTCAATCTCAATCACCTACTCATTTGGACTCCCGTCTGTCACTCCTATAATATCTTTGTCGATTTAATCCTCCACCACCACGCGTCGCGGATCTGGGATCTTCATGCTCGCCCACTTCACAAACATGGCCTCCCAGTTCACCCGGGGACGAGGCCTCAGGACCATCCTCTGGAACCGCCGTCGACGCAGGGTATTGATCGTCACATGTATTTTAATGACTTCTTCCTCCTCCTCGTCCTGGGTGATGTCACTAGGTTGCTGGACGGGAGAATCCTCTGTCTCAGACTTCTCAGACTTTGTATCGGATGATTCAGATTCCTTGGTATCGTCTTCCAGGATTGTAGCTTCCACCGATGCAGTAGTAGTAGTGGTATGCTGCGCAGTCTCCGACTCTGACTGACCCGGTTGTAATTGCGATACCTTCTGGTCCTCTTGCATCGAAACTCCAGCGGACTCCTCTTGTTCTTCTTCTTCATGGCCGTCATCCCTATTCTCCTTAGAAGAAGAAGAGGAAGATTTCCGAACTGGCAATGATTCAGGCTTATTCTTCTTCTTCGCATTTAATGAATTCTGCTTCTTTTCCAAAAGAGGTTTCCGCTTCTGCGCCTTCTTCTTCTTGCTTCCTGGTTGCCGTTTCATGTGCGTGATGATCGGTTCGATTCGTACTGTCTCCTGCGTCTCCTGGGTCTCCTTCTCCCGTCCTGGTGAGCGACTCCGATGTTCAGGACCTTCAGGTTCAGCTGGCTGCTGCGAGTCTGAATCGGCTGCCTGGTGGTTGGCCTCCTCCGGGCTTTTTTCTGCAGGCTTCAAGGAGAAGATGAGTGTGCCAGGGGACCTGCACAAGACGAGGTCGTTCTCGTACGCATTAGCATTGGTTGTTCTGTCTTCCTTCCGGCTTTCTTCAGCAGTCGTCGCCGCACGAGAGTCAACGTCCGCGTCGCCGTTCTGCTCATTCGGTCCCTCTTCCTCCTCTGCCTGCAAGACGGTTTCGGTTTCGTCTCCCTGCTCGTCATTCGCATTCAACGCCAGTTCGGCCAGCTCCTTGCCCGTCTGCCAGTCAAACAGCTGTTTGTTGCGCACCATGGCGTTGTATGTCCTCCGGTCCGCATACCGATAGTAGCTCGCCTGTCTCGTCATCGTCTCCCGGGCCTCGTTGGCGACGGTTTCGATGTCCACCTTGATGGCGTTGCCCAGCTTTTCCAAAAGAGTCCTGCGCTCCTTGGACTCTCTGGCGACGGACGTAGGCGTAGGAGGCTCAATGCCGAGACTGCTCATTACGTTTCTGATGTGACCGATCTCCAATGCCGCAGTAGCAGCAGTCTTCGAGCTCTTCACCAGATGATGATCTTCCTGCTGTTGGATGCGACGCTCTATCTGTATGTCTTTCAGCAGGGCTTGGTTGACCCTCTCGCGGTCGGCCGTGCTGAAGCTAGCTGCTGAATACTCGTGTATCGCAAGCTGAATCTTCTCGATAAACTCTGCCGTCAATCCCGGGGAGACTGGTCGTAGCTTTTGCTTGCGCTTCAGCACCCTGGCGAGTTGTTTCGCATGCTTAGCGGCGCTTCGTTGGTTTCTTGTCGACTTGCGAAGCAGCGGCGACGGTGACGAGGGCAGCGAGGAGGATAATGATGATGATGATGATGGCTGAGACTCGTCATTCGACTGCAACTGCAACAAGTCGTCTATGCTCGCCTCTGTTCTTGCGTCGATATCCACCCAGTCTTCCTCGCCTTCGTCAAGGCCAGCAGACGAGGAACCGTTGTCATTGTCCATCTCCTGGATCTCTCTGACCAATGTCCCAATCTCGCGGTGTCTCTTGTCATGTTGTTCGAGTGAATTTCGACAACTATATACAAACGCAGTCAGCATAGTCCAGTCACCCAAAGCCTGCAACGCCCGAAAAAAAAAAGAGAGAGAGAACTCACGGTTCACACTTATGCGAACAACCCAGCCGGAACATAGTCTGATGGAACCGAACACACGGTTCAGCATGTTTCCCAAAGCAAGTAAGCTTAGCTCGAGGATTGTTGAGACACGTCTTGCACACCGCACAGCCGTGTCCTATACCAATTTTGGTTTCTTTGTTAGCGAAGACCCGGTCCGATCCATAGGTAAGCGACAGGGGATAAGGGTATACGTACTCAACGCCGGACTATCCTCGAATCTGTACTCAGAAGCAGAATTCGAGTACTTGGCCGGTGCCATCTTAATCTTGCCCTTCAAGCAATATCAGCCAAGCAAAGCAACAGTCCACTTCTTCTGAGTCACAGCGGATCACGTGTTGATAGTAATAGTTCTTGTGCTGCTTGGTTGGATAAAGAAAGAAAGACCTTGCAAGGCAGGCTCGTTGCATGGATAGATGATCCAGTCAGGTACAGTCCAGTTCATGTAAATCTGTGACTGCTCCGCTCTGCTTGTTGAGATAGATGGTCTTCTTCTCAAGCAGACTGTTCAAAGGGTTGACTGACTGTGAACGAGAGTATAGTAAAGAGAATAGATAGGAAGTAGGTAGAAAGATGTGCCTCTACGCGAGGCAGGTAGTAAAGAAAAGATGAAGAAGAGGATGCGGAAGAGGATGAGGAAGAGGATGAGGATGAGGATGAGAAACAAAAACCTCCATTATATAGGAAGGCAAGAAAGTAAACATATCCGTTGCTGTAAGAAACCGACACGCTATTTTCATCTCTATGGGACAAGCCGTCTTGTTTTGATATACTGTATTCTCCGCTCTTCACAGGACGGGAAGTACCGCTGCTGCTGCTGCTGCTGCTGTTGTTGTTGTTGTCAGGATCACACTGTTGTTGTAGTTGTGGGGGAATGCAGACAAGGGGCGGAGAGAGCCATTCATACCTACTTACCTTAGGTACTTACTTGCACATGTATGTATGTATGTATGTGTGTATACCTGGGTAGGTAGGTAGGTAGGTAGGTGCGTAGGTAGGTAGGTGATTGTTGTGATGTTCCATCTATCTACCTGACAAAGCAAGCGTTCCCCATTGTCCATCAGGGAACAAAGCGTGTGAACAGGGCTAGTTGGTACTGCTACATCAGCATATGCGTTTGGTAAGCAAGCACACGCCAGTATCGGTATCCACATCCCATCAAAACTAATTACAGTACCTCGAATAGGTAGATTCCTACGCTATTGAGTCGAGTAAGGGGACTAGGTATGTACATCCGCGATACCAGATACGATCGATATTCCATTCAATTCAATTCAGTAATTGGAAGATTACGTCTAGACCAAATCTGACTGAGGGTGATCGAAAAGAAAGACAGTAATAACTACCTATAGAACGTACAGCGTACCATTGTTTGGACGAAGTAGATGTGCCTCATGTCTGAAATTAAAATGAATGTCTTTGGATCCATGACCATGACTACGAGTTGATAGAGCAGGCAGGTCCTTGAAGTACGGAATAAGCAACAGGAAACAAAACTCAAGTATTATATTATTTGAAATCTCTGTCCGTCCGTCTAGACGGCGTATCGCGTGAGCACAGTAGATGTCCTTATCTGATGCGCATTAGCAGGGGGGAAAAAAAACAAAAACGATGTAAAAAACCGTTAGCAAATCCGTCAACCAACTCAATTCGACAATCGCCTTTGGCTAGTTGACTGACTGACTGGTTCATCAGATCAGACATCCCGCACCAGACGCGCTCCTGCCCAAGCATAGGGATAGTTGTGCTGGTACCAGTTGACACTGCAGCAAGCGCAAGTAATTAGCAAGCAATAGATCCCTTAACCAACCAGGGCCCTTTTCATACTTACAATGTCGTGCGGCCAGCGATTCGAGGGTGAGTAGCCCACGAACCGCCAAGGACGATGTAGTGCTTTCCATCGAAAAAGTCCGCTGCATCAGACCACGTATTCAGCATGTATGACCAAAAAAAATGATAGAGAAAAAAAAGGTTTGGCCTACCAGTATACCCCGGATAAATCTCCATTGCCTCAAACCCCTCATGCGGCGTCAGCGGCGAGCTGGTCCATTCCCACACGCCTCCCAGTTCGCCCTGCCCGGCGAGCTTGTCGCCCTCCGGGGTGACGGGGATAGGGTGCCAGTGTTTGAATCCGACATTGCAGCCGTCGAGATCTATAAACACCGGCATCCTATCCGTGGAGGAGGAGGAGGGCTGCACAGGCTGGTGGTCTGGGGCTCGGGACTTAGGCGGGTTTCGTTCATGGTAGGACTCGCCCACGTCGTCTGTATGAGTATGACCATTTGTTCCGTTGCTGATCAATCATATTTGCAAGCATTAGCTCAGATTTTGCAAATAATAGACACAGACGCCAAGTTACACACCTTTTCATACCGCCATTTGTCACGTGAAGCACGCCATTCTCTTTGCTGGCTGCCTTCATGGATTGCGAGTATTTATAGATGCTCTTCACCTCCTCGAACGTGGGCAGTCGGCAATTCATCCATCTCGCGTACCCCGCCAGTTCGTCGTACGACGCTATCACGGGCCAGTCAAGAGCCCACACCAGAGGCACGGGGCCGAATACAGTACGCACGGAGAACTTGGAGATGAAATCGTCACTGGCATGCGATTCCCCGTTTACATGATGATGATGATGATTTCCATTGGCAGCGCCGTGGCCGTCAGGCGCACTAACCATCCACGATGCTGGGATGTCACGGATCTGGTTGACCTCTAGGTACTTTGCATACTCGCCGTTCGTGATCGGCCGGCCCTGGGCCTCGAAAGCCGGCACGGTGACCACTCTCTGCGGCTTCTCATTATCCCAGCCAAACGACTGCTCTGGTACCTTACTGTGGTCCACGTCGTGCAATCCGATCGTGAACGTCTGCTGGGGGATCGAGAACCATTTATTGGGCTTTGCATTTTTCCGAGCCTCGCGTGCCATCCCTTCAAAGTCTGGCGTGCTGACTCCAGGAGGAGGAAGGGTCCTGTCGCTCTGCAGCAGCATGTAGAGGAAGGTCTCTAGATGCATGGCCTCGTGCTCGAAGCCGACCCAAAGGGCTTCCCCAAGAAGTCGATTATTCTTTTGCAGCCCGTCCGTCTCCGTCTTCATGATGGACTGCACTCGGCTTCGCACTCTCTCCTGGTAGTCCAGGATCTCGCCCAGTGGCGGCCATTCGTCGGGTATTTCACTGTGGGCGTGGCACTGCTCGGGATTGTCGACATCTGGATCGATCCCTCGCTCAAAGATGAGCTGGTAACTTTTAGGTTCGGTCGGTTTCCCACGCGTTCCCCGGGTCAGGTGGATATCTGTCATCGTCAGCGGTATCAAGGGACCAAAAAAAATGTACACTCACCGAGAAAAGTGGGTATATGTCCCAGGTAGAAAATCAACGCATTCCGGAGCTTGATAGGCTTCGATAGCAGCTCTTCCTGCGGGGTCATAGACTTGGTCACTATGTCCCAAGCCGTCCACAGGGATCTCCACTCCTGCAGAGTCGGAACACTATGAGCGACATACTCTCGAGGGTCAGTGGGCAAGGAAAAGGAGGCCGGCGAAAGCATATGGATATCTACGGAGTGTGTATTAGTAGGTTTGGCCCGTGCGTGTTCAAGGACGATCGATCAGTCGATCACACTGTGGGGAAGATCTATCTTATCATAGCTCCAAGATAAGGAAAGGATACTCACGATAATCGTTAGAACTGTTCCCGAACGAAGCGGCAGGGACCAGCCCCGCATCACGCCACAATCTCTCGCGCTCATGCAGATCATACTTAAACGCTTCTTCAAAGAGGATCTTCTCGCCCTTACGCAGGCTGATGCCATTGATAGTGACGTCCTGGGTGGGGACATAAAATGCTTGGTGGCAGCCATTGGCCTCGTCGAAGGAGCAAACGACTTCCCACTGCCCCGGCTTGAAGGCCTCGTAGCCCAGGACGGCATTGGCGTGGGACAGCCCGTTCAGGTAGAACCGGGACGTAACACCCTTTGAATCGTTGTAAGCGCGGTAGACTTTGTCTCTGTCTTTACACGCATCCAGACCGACGATGACCGAGTCCGATGAGCCTAGGAGTCTAGCAAATCGGCCCAGGAATTCCGCCGCCTCGGGACGGCGGAAGTTCCCAAGCGAAGAACCCATCGACAGGACACACGTGGGCTGTTTTCTATTGTCCGGGTTCTGCAGCCAGCTCAGAGCATCGTCGTACGTGCCATGGAGGCCATGGAAACGGACGTGCTGGTACGTCTGGGGGGAGATGGCTGCAAACGTGCGGTTCAGTTCCTCCAGCGAGAGGTCGAGGGCATAGTAGTCCACCTCTTTCCGGATCCTCTCAAATTCCTTGAGCAGGATCTCGATCTTACGCAGGTTCCTAGAGCTGTGTTAAAAAACAATCTGTCCTGAGAATAAAAAAAATATCGCCCGGTCGGAACATCAATTTGGCCAGTGGTCTCCGGAGCCAGGAAAAACACACCCACTACCCAGCTCAATCAGCTGCGCATTATCCGGCATTCTCTCGGCGATCGTCCTCGCATGAGCCGTCAAGACCTCAATCTCGGCATTCGTCAGGTAGTACTCGTCCAGGTACGTGATCTCCTCGAACAGCCGAAGTCCCCGGGTGTCGTACAGCAGGACGGTGGGAAGAGACCCGTGCCTTGCCATCGGGAGGGTTGAGACTGTCGTAGATTGCATTGGCTAGCGACAGGCCCGAGGCCTTCGGGCGGATGTCAATGATGTTGACAGTGTTCTCGGCGAGGAGTGCAGGAGACATGCTGAGAAAGAAATACGGATAGGCGGTAGACGCAGTGATTGTAGACAAAACTGAAAGAATTCTACTGAGTTACAAAGCCAGACGCAAGCTCGAACGAACAATAGAGTGTATAAGTACGCAGTATAAGTACTTAATCGATTCAAAACGGCCGCTGATTTATTCTGTTTGAGCACTGAACTCCAGATCGGAAATTTTAGTTTTAGACTTCTGCCACGGCAAGAAAACTAGGAAAAGGAATATGGAATCATCGCGTCGACAAGTGATCAACCCCCACAGCCGTGGAACACAGTCGAGTTTGTCTCGAACAAGCACGCGGGACCATGGTTGGTCCTTTCAACCCTTGGCAGCATGATGGGCGGATAACTTTGATGCGAGTTGTTGACGTCGGCTGCCTACCTAATGCCCCAGGGCTCCAGGCTCCTGCGGGGCGCCTTTTGTCATGGCCTATGGCCCATGGGCCCCTTTACCTTAGCTTACTACCTATGCCTCGAGTGGAGAAGACAAACATACCCAGCTAGGATACGATCGTGAGGAGATCCAGTCGGCAGATGTCGTAAGGTATGTAATGCAAAACTCCCGGGATCCCGCGGACAGCCGTGTTGTACCGGCATCAATCACCATTGTGTTTTCGTCCTATCGCCTGCACGAGGCAGCGGGAGTTCCAGAATTAAGGTACCTAAAGGTAAGGTAACCATACTGCTATTTGCAGTGTTGCACAGGCCATGGACCTAGTCACCTAGGCAGGGCCAGCAGGGGCCTCTGACGACATCCAACCACAGGAGAAACATCGAGGCGATGGAGGAGCTTAGCTGCGGGGAGCTGCACAAAACAGGCAGTTTGCCTTGTTTGCCTTGTTTGTTTGCCTGCGCAGGAGAATTACTAAGTAGATGCTTGTGACGTTCCAATGACATCCCAGCTCACGGCTCACGGTGTCTGCGGTGTTCGCGAATAAAACCTCTGCATTCAATCTGATGTTTTTGACGGCGGCTTTCTCGGCTGAAAAATACGGAGGGCACATGATCTGTCGTCGTGAAGTTGAGGCGTGGCTTGCTGACTGCTGAACATCAAGTCTCATGTGTATGTACTGTACAGTAAATATAGGTACATGTACTTGGTAGTAATGGCAGACCTGCAGAAGATAGCTGGTAGTCATATGAGTTTGGACAAGCATCACGTGCCTGGCTAGAAATTACACCCGCTGCTGCAGAGACGATCCGTGTATCGATTTAATTGCAAGCTGCACTCTCCTTGTCTCTGATTCGTCGTAATGTCATTCTTCTTCAAATACCACGATTACGGAAGGAGAAACGTTTGATTTTTAGTATTCATGACTAAATTCCCAAGACATTACTGTAGACTCTAGATTATATAGGCCAGAACATCACTCAAAGGAATATCCCAAACGTAGCTGGCGACAGCCATACCTCCCACACTCATTATCGCCGCCATCAAGACATTGACGCCATTGTTATCCAGCAAGTCATATCCGCTCTCGACGCGACGGCTCTCGCGCTCATGGCCCTCGGTGCCAGAAGGGCCGCCGTGGCCCGGTCGTGATCCTGCCGACGAACCAGTCGCTCTAGACCCTTGCAGCGTGGCCGTGTTGAAGGCCGACTCGGTGGCTCGAATGCTGCTGCTGTCTCGGTCCAGACCGCTGTTGACGGTGGTAGAAGATTTTGTCGAGGAGGGGTGGATAAGGACCTATAAAAACCGTTCAGTTTCTCTGACAATCATAGTATGAATTGTTTCTGTACACACCTTTCGGCCACCGCTGCCCTCGACAATCTTGCCAGTCCGCTTATCCACCACACTGGCCTGGAGCAGCCCTCCAAGAAAACTGTCCACAACACTGCCCAGCCCGCCCCACAGCGTCACCGCAACCACCCAGAGGGCACGCTCCTTGAGTCCCCATCCATATAGTCCATCACTGCAGAAAGGAAGGAGCAAGAGGGACGTCACCGCAATGGTAAAGGCGCCAAAAAGCCCCGCCAGCAGACCCGTCGGAGTGACGCCGCCGTTGGTGCCAGGCGGAACGACACGTAAAGTGGGGGAGGTGATAAGGCGCGGTTTGGACTTGGAAAGAATCCCCAATTCAGAGGAGAAGGTATCCGCTGCGACGGCGGCGTAGTTTCTAAAACAGAGGACAGTCGATTAGTTATTTCACTCTCTCTATAACATAACAAAAAAGACACTACTCACGCTACAATCCCCACAACCAACAAATCACCCACATCAGCACCGCACGAGAAGCAGGACGGAGAGGACAGCTGCAACCATAACAACCGTGTATGCAGCAATATCAGCACCGACGCGACAATCGAGTTGGCCAGCACCTGGATATGCGTCCGCGCGCCTTCACCGCCGGGCGCGCCCGAGGCGGACAGAGTCAATTGGGCCTTGACGTCGTGTTTGACCTGCAATCCTTCCGGTTAGAGCTAGGTCATATCACCGCAAGTGGCAGGAAGAAAAACTAGATAGTTAAGTATACTGTACCTTTGTCGCACTCGTCCCGCCGAGATAAAACACTGCCAGCAGGAAGAAAGGCGCCGACCACGGATGGACGACGTGGACAATGGCCGTGAGGACGGCCGCAACGAGGCCCGCGGGAGTGAGGGACTTGCGGGACCAGGCGCGGTAGACGAGCGCGGTGACCGCCGGCACGGCGATGAGGGGCTTCATTTCAGCCTTCAGCCTTTGTATGCGCCCGGAGAAAAAACTATAATTTGTGGCTTCCCTTCTAAAAGGCCCTTTGAAAATTATGTTAAGGAAAAGGAGATAAGAAGGCGGAAAGACAAGAAAAGAGATAAGCGGAGTTCTCCTGTGCCTGGAAGCTAAGCTACCGCGTCATTCATTATTGCCGGGTGGAGCAGCCTTAGCTTGTCCATTTCGGGTAATAAGCTTGTTTCCAGCTGCCAATATTAAAACACTTCTAATGGTAAGGTGTATACGTTTACCATGACATCAATAGAATTTCGATATTGACTATATAAAGAGGAGTAATTTCCGTTTTATTTTTAATTGTATAAGTACGTGCATGTATGTACTGTTCACATTATGTTATATACTGTACTACAGCATCCAAGCAAAGAACATCAGTCAAACTGGATCTGAAGGGTATCTTTAAAAATTCAGCACTGATATCACCAAGAGCAATACCTCATGGCGAGGATCATGAAACGTGGCGAGATGAAAGGACCAGAGCTGCCAAATACGAGTCTGTGGTAGCGTATTGATGTACCGGCCATACTGTATACACATCATCTGGCTGCCTCGCTCGCGTAGCTATGAGATCACGTCTCGTTTGAGCTGAAAGAGACGTGGCAGATGCCAGATACATCGAACTCTGCTGTCCCGACCTCTGTTGCAACTGGCCAACTGTCTCGCCTGACCTCGAGTGCCCACCTGCTCCCAGGGACGAGATGATTCATGAGTTTCCTTCATTCTAGCACAAGAACCTGGGGTGTGGCCTAGTCGTTAAGCCAGATACCCTCTGCAGGCTAGGTTGCACGCCCCGGGTTCGAACCACGGCAGTGATGGTTGAGGGGGTGCGGTCATTACCAATACTTTCCAACATCACCACGGGATCTGGCCTTGGTTGTAGTAAAACCCTGCCCGCCGCAAGCAAGGCGGGGTTTTCGTAGCATCCTCACTGAGAAATCAGTGAGGGTGTGAGCTTTTTTTTATATTTCTCCATCATGTCTGGTCGACAGAACGTGTCATGCTGGTCGTATTGCTGGTGATCGCGTCTCAGATATCAACAGCAGGGTAATAAGGACAGGTCAACCCAGCTTATCCTTCCCGGCTGATTCCCGTCGAGACGCAAATATGGTCACAGCGGTATGACCAAGCTTTTTCTCAGCCAATCAAACCAGTATTTATTTCCCCCTCTTCACAGATGGAACCCACCATGCTCAGAGACGTCGCAGAATCTCCACAGGCCGGCCTCCTCGGCAGCTTTCCTCACACTACCAAGCTCCTCATCCGTGACAGCGCGGTTGATATCCGCATAGCGAACACCACCACCACCAGAATCGGCGGACGAGTCGTCTGCTGCTGCTGCATCGTTACTGCTGCTGCTGCGCCCTCGTTTCTTCTTGCCGACATGCGCATCTGGATGATACTGCTCCATGATATGAACATACAAATCCTTGGAGACATTCTCAGCCAACCACCTCATGATCTCCCGTCCTTCATCCTCCTTGCCCGGCATGACGAGATGACGGAGGAGAACGCCCTTCTTGGCGATCCCATCGGAGGTGAAACACAGGTCGCCCACCTGCCGATGCATCTCCTTGATGCTCTCCCTGGCTGTCTCGGCGTAGTTGTCGGCCTTGAGCAGCCGCTTCGAGGTGCTGCTCTTCCAGACCTTGAAGTCCGGCAGGTAGATGTCCACCAGGCCGTCCATCAGTTCCAGCGACGCCAGCGAATCGAAGGCCGAAGTGTTGTAGATGATGGGGAGTTTGAGACCCATGTCTCGCGCGGCGAGGATGGAGAGCGCGACCTGCGGCACGACATGCTCGGGAGTGATGAGGTTGATGTTGTGCACGTTCCCGACCTGCTGCAGCTTGATATACCACTCGGCCAGCTCCTCGGGAGTCAGGTCGAATCCATTTCGTTGGTGGGCGATATCCTATCGTAATCAATTAGCACCAAAGGAATTTCAAATGCAGAGAGAGAGATCCCTACATGATTCTGACAAAACACACACCGCAAATTACACCCCGAAAAAAACACCGACCCACTCCCATTATACCCCTGGATACACGGCTCCTCGCCCCGATGCGGCGCAATGACATTGACCTTGGCCGTCTCGGCGCCGATCAGACACACGCCCGTCTGCTCGTACCGATTGACGCCGCAGAGCCGCGGGCAGAGGTTGCAGTTGCGCAGGTGCGCGTAGGCGAGAGACCGCTTCTTGGCGACATCGACCTCGCTCAGTAGTTGGTACCGAGGGATGTAGTCGTCGAGGAGGAATTGCGGTGGGATTCCGAGGTGTCGTTTGCAGACTCGCTGGACGATAGCAGTAGCAGTAGCCGAGGGAGAAGAAAGCCGAAATGCTCGGGAGAGAAGGGCCATGGTTTTATGACCAGTGTTGAAATATCATATCAGGATCATTGAGCACTCCTTAACAAACAAGCAGACAACATAGTTAATAATTCCTTCCGACCAACTCTTCTGCTTTGATAGTACTCCGTAATCAATAAATGGTTAATTAAGTTCGCCTCATCTGGACGGACGGAGAAGAGTGGGTCCAGCATGAATAACTAGTTAACTAGTTAAGTACGATATAAATCTTACATAAGCAGGTACAGTACGCCGAATACGTCATACCACGTGAGGCCACAATAGCCATGAACAGACAGATTCAATGACAACGACAATGATTACCTGCAGACCCAAATCGACTATGGGCGGAAGTACACACCTGCAATCGAGGTAAATTCCAATTTATTATATTGATATTATTTGGAGATTTCTAAATTACGAGACCCTACTACTACAAAGGGCTTTTCAGGAAATGAAAAGTTCAAGAAAAATGGGCTGTTGATTATCTACAAGTATCCTCCAGTTATATATAAAAAGGAAAAGAAAACATCCCATAGAATATGTACTGTGCTTACTATACAGGGGTATTTCCGTAATAAACAAAAAATAAAAAAAGACAAAAAGCCAGTTGCAGCGAAAAAAAAAGGGCCCACCACCAAGTTAACCCAACTCGACAGATTCCGACATTAATTTGTCCTTGTCTCGACGCCAGAAACCGCCTTATCCAACAAAAGAAAAAAAAGCCATACCAACATTATAATTCAAGATGGCGGGAAAAAAAATGTGAGTTAGTTAAAGAAAGGGGAGGAGAAGAAAGGGAGAGTTGTCCATTTGCATCTTTTTGAAACTCCAAACCCGGGCCACCAATCCAATTGCATAGGTATATACCATCATCACTAACCATCAGAGTCATATCGATCGTTTGAACAGAGACGATACACGCTCAAAAAAGTCATCTGTCATCATAACGCAAGGCCGGTCCCATCACCGGTCCAGCGGTAGAGAGCAAGCACTTCTCGTCGGCGTTGTTGCTGCTCGCCAAAATCTTCCGAGATCCGTCCGCGGACCTGCGCGAGAGCCGATCGCATGACCTTGCGGAAATTTCGCTGCGACGAGGTCAGAAGTCAGCACGTTATCAATTCCTTTGATAGTTTTGTCCCCCTCAAAAAATGCATACCTGGTACTCTGTATTCAGGGTTACGACACAAGCTTCGTGAGCACGGACAATCGTCTCGCACGCCTTGACCACGCTCGGACTGGCATCCCCTTGCAGCTTGTCCGCTGTCAGCAGCAGCAAAAAGCTCCCCTGCAAGAGGTAGATGCCAAAGAAAAACGGCATAAAACTCAGGTCGGGATCATATTCCAGGATGTCGGCCGCTGCCTCGGCCGCCTGCACAGCATGGCCCATGGCGGTGACAAACGATTCCGAGGAAATCCACAGGTCGTTGTCGTCGAACAGAGAGATCGGGTCCCATTTGCCGGTCAGCAGAATATGCAAAACATGCATAATGTGCGTTCCGTATGCAACAACCATCTTCGTCTGCATGAGCGACTCGTTCACTCGCGATCCCGCCGTACTGGTCGAGCGTCCAGACGGACTGACATGGTCGACAGACGGGCCGTCAAAACCCGCTTCAGCTTCGTTGCCGAGACCAAGACTGCTGGTATGACGAGCTTCGAACTCGCGCAAACTTTGCCCGTACACGTCGAGTTGGCGGGTTATTTCCGCCATCTGTCTCTCCCATTCACTGCTGTTTCGGAAATGCACGCCAAACCGAGGATGGTTGCGCGCATGATTCAGATCGACGATTTCGCCCAGAATGGTCATCAGCGGCAGGAAGTATCCAAACATGCTATGCCCCGTACATTCGATGGGCGGCCCGGCGCGCCGATACCCGGCGTTGGCGAAATCACCCGCCTGGAAGACATCGTCATTCATCGGCTGCAAGAGGCTCTCGCACTCTTTATCTAGCAGAGTCAGCGGTCGATTGTAGCAGAGTGCGAGGTGACGATCCATCACATAGAGCAGCCACCATATGCGTCTGCGTTCCTCGCGCTCTTCCTCGGTCACTTGCCCGGTTGTGCTGGCCGTACTGCCCGCCAGCGGGATCGCCGATTGCGTAGCATGTTGATCGACGTCACCGTCTCGCTCGTCTTGTCGGGGTTGAGACGCGGTGGGCGGCAGCTCTCGACCCAGTTTCAACTCCCGTGCCAGTGACCAGGCTGCGGCCCACCAGCGAACACTGGCAGCTTTGTACTCACTCGCCGATATGACCGTGGCCAGGTGGATGTAGGTGGCCACATCATCGATCGCTCCGGCCGCAGTGCTCTGAGCACCCAGCTGATCCATGGAGACACCAAATCCGCCCAGCGCGACACCGTTGATCACCATATTCGCTGCATAATTCGGGGAGGTCTCCCCAGGAGCTGGTCCGTGAATTAACGGACGGAGCAAACCCACGGTTACCTCCAACAGTTTCTGGCAGATGAGTCCGCGTTTGGACGGAGGAGACGTCAATAACGCTGCATCGCTCGTCTGAGCGGCGATCCAGAGCATGCTGGCCAGAAGAGCCGGACTACACACCCGGGGTCTAGTAGGATGCAGGAATGATTGCTTTCGAAAGACGTATCCGACGACGTACGGCGATCGCGGGAACATATGCGACGAGGACGTGCTGGCAAAGTAGAGCTCCAGAAGGTCACAGGCAAGCGATTCGGGAATGATGTGCCTTATATGCGGGAGAACCGGCTGCAGAACGGGATATTTCAAGGTGCTAGGAACACCAGTGGGCATATTAAATGATGGAAAGTTTGCAGGTGAGGGGGGCGGTAAGGAAAGCCATCCCGGCGACTGAGCGGGCGGGGTGAGTCCAATGAATGGTGCTGAAGCATCTTCGCCTAGCCGGTATCCGTTGATATTCGCATGATTCTGGTCCTGCGGATTCATCAAGCCATATGTACTGTTATGAAAACCGCTATTGAAAGTCTGAGGAAGTAAAGGAGGTGGTGGGGTGCGCTGATTCGAAGCAGACGAGGGCAAGGCCTGCAACGATCGCAGATCGGGCATCTGCATGGAGGAACGGTTCACGTCATGCAATTGCCCGTAGTCGTTCATGGGCAGATTTTCCATGCCTGCTGCCATCTGCGGTTGTGGTTGCGACGACGGTGTTTGCTGTGGTCGTGAATTGCTTGGCAGGTTGGCAACGCTCCGTGTCGGATCGAACGCCGAGTCGTATCTACCCTGGGCTTCTGGCGGGGATGATTTATCCGGAGACTCTTGACCATTCGTGGGGGCAGAGGCATCTCTCTCATTGGAATGAGCATTAGTCGTACTAGTCGCCGTAGTACTATTATTCCCCGCAGTAGCAGCGGCAGCGGCTTTGGCTGCTGCTGCCGCCAGGTCCTTTTTCGACGCTTTCCCACGCTTCTTCCGTTCTCGAGCATATTCGCAGGTCAGACCGAATTCTGCGACCGCCGTCAGCAATTGCGGGAGAGTCCTCCGACGCAGCATGAACCGAAGTATGAGTGGAACATCATACCTATGCAATGTGCGCACGGCTGCTGCCCATCGCATTTAGTCCGCAACTGATTACATTGATCGCAGGCGCGACTGATCCGCCGGCGGACGGGAGCTGAAGCTGAATTCTTGCGGACGCCGGAAGAACGTGCCTCGGTGACGGAAGTCCGGCGTACAGGGACCTTGAAACCAGCGGATTCCGATGCGGAGGAATGGTCCTTGAACTTCAGCACCTCATCGTGGGAAGAAGAACCGGCGTTAACTTCGGCCTGTCGCGTGAGTTGCAACTGCTCGAGAGCATACTGGGAACCCTCCGCCAGGGTGTCCAGGCCGGAAGTCTGCGACTGGGAAATCTGCGTAGAGGACGCCGCCGTGTCAGAGCCGGTGGGGAACGCGGTGTATGGATTCGTGAACTGCTGTAGCGCGGCAGACATGGTCTTTGGTCGATCAGGAAGATCGAGGTCGACATAGGCAGATACCAGCAGTAAAACTCACGGGCACATTGCCCAGTAATTTTTTCTTTTCTTCTTTTCTGTTCTTTTTTTTTTAATCCAACCACCAGCGGCACTCTCAACACAGCAAGGACAGAGAAATGGAGCAGATTCCTCCCAGCGGGGAGGGGAGGCGACGGACGTCTCCCCGCCAGGCCAAGGTCAAGGACGGAGGATCCGGGCAGGTTCGTCGGGAGATTACACGGTAACAGCCTAACGCGCAATGGAGATAACCGCCGACAGAAGCCAAAACGTGCGAGAATCTAATATTGGGGGGTGAGAGAGAATGAAAGAGGGACGTCGAGAGTCCAAAGAAGCGTGTGGTGGGGGTGAAAAAGAGAGAGAAGAGAGAGAGAAAGACCGGTAGCAGTTCTGAAGCCGAGACCGCGATTGCACGTCAACGAGAGAAGGATGAGTTTCAGTTCAGTTCAGTTCAGTCCAGGGCAAAGCTTCATCCCGTACCGACGTACCGACGCCTTGACTGTGGGTAAGCCACCGGTGGGCAGGCCGGACAGGACCGGACAGGCTGACAGGCCAGGACAGGCCAACGGGGTCGCCAATTTCCTGATTTTCTCAGGACAGGCCCCCCGGTCAGCAGGCGCTTACGGAGTACTCTTAGTGTGCAGTTCCCCAGCACTCTCCGTACGGGCTGCTCCAGGTATCTCCGGGGGAGGGGGCCGAGCACGCGCATGGTCCAGCGGAGGGATCGGGTCTTATTTTTTTGTTTTTTCGAGGGCGTCCCCAATGGGAAGGCGAACGCGGGGCGCTGTGGAGAGGCGGTGGCAACGCCACGCACGCGGGGAACCAACTGGGGAGCGATGCCGACGGTCGTCCATCAAACTAGGCCGTGACGGACGGAGCCATCGGTTCCTGGGAGCACCAGCAACCCGATTGAGTCTTGAGATCAAGTGACCGTTGCGATTCCCACGAGGCCAGCTGCCAGCAGCGACCGCGTAGGCTGCCGGATCGGCATGGAGGGCGTGCGCTGGCTGGTTCGCGCCTTCCCCGGCCTGAATTCACCCTTGCAGTCGGTGGGCGTTCGCGCCTTCCTTCGGCCGCGGGGAAGACCCTGGCCGCTGCGGCCCTGAGCTTGCCCCAGCACGGAAGGAGCGTCCATGCAGACGTTGAGCGATTGTATTTGTGCACAGGGAAGGAAGCAGCCGAGGAGAGCCTCTTCATCAGTGGCGCTCTTGCCAATCTGCCAGCGTACTCCGTATTCCTCGTTCTTGCCTTTAATTCAAGAGACAGGAGGATCTCACCGCTGAAAGACTGCAACCGGAACAGGTCGCATCACACCAACAAGTACACACACAAGTACTCAGTCGAGCACTCGTCACGAGCGATCAGGAGATGACTCTGGATTAATTATTATTATTGACGACAATCCCCGCGAGCCAACCTGATCGTCCTCCTCTCCTGCAATATTATTTGGCCCCTACTCTAAGTCTCTAACTCCGTACGTAACCACACCCCATCGATCCTGTTTTTGAAACTAGCCGTCTAGACTTGGCTCAGCCGATCGACAGCATGTCCTAATCGAAAATTGTTACTATATTCTGTGACTCTACTATCCCCCTTGACGGCGTGCAGCGTGCAGCGTGCTAGGTGGCTTCTTTTCGGTCGGACGGGAGGATCCGAACAAGACGATGACGCGGGGGGACACGGCACCACCACAAGGCTACCTACCTAGACAGACGGGATCAGCAATGAACAGCTCTCTCTCTGGTTAGCAGGTTGTTGGTTGGTTCCCTACCTAAATTAATAATTAATCGATTAATTAATCATCTACGCGGCTGCCAATCAGGTATTCGTAGCGCCCGGTAAGCTGACATAATATACTCCCAAGATGGGATGGCAGTAATATTACTCTATATTGCTGAGTGTACGACAGCTCAGGAAATACACACAAACTACGATTACGTTACGTTCATTTACCACGTGGCCAAAAGATAAGCGTATTGATTGATTTTTATTAATTGGCCGTATTTTCTTTCTAGATCTTCAATGACATGGGCTGGTCCTAATGATACATGCATGACTCTTCAAAACGGAATGTTCCCACATATACATACAGTACACGCCTCCAAAGAACGCCCATCACCCGGAATCATGTCCCGCAAACGGCAACAGTAGGCAAATATATATATATATATATATACAATGATGAGAAGAGGCGCTCGAGGAGGTTGTCGTTACATGCCACGAATCCCAAGATTGATGTCAGAACACAAGGGAATATACCGGCGGCATCGTAATGCCATCATAATAAGACAGGAATCAAAAATGGGACGTGAGAAATAATACATCGCATCGAAAAGAACCCCATTCGCTGGTGATGAAAGGTCCCACCCGAGAACAGATCACCCGTGCATGCACGCGGTCAAGAGAAGAAATATTTACTCTCCTTCAGTCGCTTGACATCAAAGTCTCCCTTCATGGGAACCTCTCGGAATTTCAGCGGAAGCCACAGCCAGACCATCTTCTTCCTCTGCGCCTGTTTCTTCTTGGGAGTCTCCGACTCATCCTCCTCGGCCTCGAGGTCTTCGGCCTCCATGTCCCGGCGACCCGGCCCCGCGGAGGCATTGGCCTCGGCATCACTGAGCTGATCGAACTCGGGGAACGGACTCGACACCCCGGTGTCCTCCTGGTCGGCATCGTCGCTACCGAAGGCTGCCCTCTGGGCGCTCTCCATGTCAGTGGGGATCGAGCCGACGGCAGTCTCACCCAGCGAGGCGGACACCGCCAGATCCTCATCCTTCCCCCCCATCGCCTCAAAGATGCTGGCCGGCGTCACCATCGCACGGCCTCGTTCCTGCAGTTCCGGATCCTCGGACCGGAGCAGAGTCTGCCGCCGATGTTCTTCCAACAGCTCGTGCAGCTGCTGAGCGATTCCCTTCTTTCGGATCTTGGTAATCGCTTTTCCAATCCGCGACTGCAGCGGCACCTTCGCCAGGAACAAGTGGCCCGCATAGCGCACCCGGAATTCCGACGCCAACCGCTTGATGATGTCGTCGGAATGCATGCGGATGAAACAGTCCCGAAGGACAGCGTTCATCACGTCAACGTCGCACGCATGCGTCCAGAACGAGTCATGGACGGCCGAGAAGGTCAAGCCTCGCCGATCACATTCGATTGCGGAAAGCATCATGTGAGTAGCATCGAGCGAGTGAATGAAGTTCGGTGGGAAGGCCTGCAGCTGCTTGCGCTTGGAAACAACCCCGTCGGCCGTTGGATCCTGGATACTGAGGTCCTGCAGACTGGTGTGGATACGGCGAGTCTTAACGGAGCGATACGGCTGGACGACAGGCAAGCCGAGGGGTGTGGTCCAGATAATGGTAGAGCGAAACATCTTCAACGGGTTGTACTCCCTCGCCTGAGTTTTCTTGTTAGATGTCACATCAGGATCACCTTCCAGAACCTCCTTTGCGAGCTCTTCGATCTGGGCCGGGGAGAGTGACGTGCTGATTCGACTGGCACAGTCGCCCAACCAGTACTGGATACTGTGGGCTCCGCTGAAGATAGAACCGAGGGCACTGAAAATACATCGAGCGATATACTTCGCACATTCGTTGACCGGTTGAAGATCCGGGTAGTGTTCGACCAGCTGTCTCTTGACCTGCCTCATGGCGCCGATGAAGGTGACGCCGTAGACATTGGTCATCACGGTCTGCTTGACAATCTTGCGCTTGATTTTGCCCTCGAGAATCTTGGCAATCTCATTGCCCTCCGCGGCGTCACGCGCGACTTTCTCCTTGACCCACTCTGCCACGCCTGTGTACACGTCGGATGGGCGATCGGAAGGTTCCAGGTTGACCTGTTGGGCGCCCTGGACATCTCCACCGAGCGCAGCGTAGTGCTGAAGCCCGTTGCATGACCCATCCTGGTGGATCGGTAGTCGAGATGGATACTGTGTCGGATCCGGGTGCCGGAGGGCGTTCCTCAGCTCGCAGCATGCTGCGAGGCATTGCCATGGGTCCTCGGCTCCAAGGAACCATCGCCTACCATGCAACCCGTTGTTGGCCGAGTCGAGGATGTCGTCCAGGTGCTCCATGGTGAAAGCTTCTCGTTCTTGAAGGCTGGCCTTGTCAAATCCATAGACGTTCGCGAGGTGGATCTTCAGCCATCTCAACCCCGACTCACCGAGCGGCTTGCCCTCTTTGAAGAGCAGCAGAGCCCGAGCATTATCCGCGCCCATTTGATTCAGGTAAGATGGAAGTGGATAAGCTCGACCCCGGAAGTCCAGGTTGTGAGGCAAGTAGAAGGTCTCATTTCGAAACGTGCGAGCGATCTCCATCTGGAAGTTCATGAAACACCTCGACGAATGAAGACCCGCCCTTTTGTTCTCGATTTGGCGAACAGCACGGCTCCACTGGATCCGCGCTTCATGGTCGTCTTTCGCAGGCTCGGGGGGATAAGGAAGATCAGGCTCCAGAGGCGGGATCTTGGCGATGGCTTCGCCCGAGTTCCACGCTTCGAGCATGACGTCGAACACGTCCTGGTTAATGACCCATGCCGTCTTCCCAAGAACATCCAGACCAGCACGGATCTGCTCAAGCCCGCCGTTTGCGAGAGCCTTCTTTACGTAAAGCTCCTGAATGTGATCACCCGGCGTACAACGCATGATTTGACTTTGGTGGGCCAGGTATCCTCCTTCTCGGAATCCAGTCCACGGCCTGGGTTCGGCCAGCATAGGCATATGGCGGGCGATCAAATGCGTCGGCGGTTCGCGAAAGAGCTTCCCGCTCACTTCGGGATGCAGATGGATCAAGCCAACCCGCCTCCCTCTGAGCACTTCGTACGAGTGTTGAAAAGCGGGTTGCAAGGTCGTGGTCCGCTTCTTAGTCTCGGGATGTTCCGTGGTCACAGGGACTTTGGCAACATCGAAGAGGAGAGCCATCAAAATGCCTCCCACTTTCGCGTGGACCCTGACTGGCCACAGGATAGAAGGCTTTGATTCCTTCACCTGCTGCACTAGGGACTGCCATTTCCCACGCCCTGCTCTCTGTTTCCGAGTCTCGAGCATCTTGGCAATCATGTTCTGCCGCCGGGTATCATCTTGCTTGGCCTTCCGTAGCACCTCTTCCGCAATCAATTCATCCTGGATTTCTCTGCCGAGAGTCGTCACGATCGACGAAAGCTTCAACCCTTTCTCGACACCGCCCTGGCTGAAAATGTGGACGAGGTGGAGGATAGTAATAGCAGCGAGTTTCTCAGGGTCCATAGATCGCAGGTAGACACCATACTCGCGACGCTCCCTGTGCGCAATCGAGGGCGACGAGCCTTCCTGCTCGGCCTCAGCCACGAGTTTTAACTCCTCGTGGATCTTGGAAACGAGATCGGAATGCCATTGGTTTATCATCGGACCCAATTTCTTGCCTCCGCCAGACGTATCGAGACCAGACTTTCTCATTTGTTCCATCTCGTAACGCCAGCGATCGACAGCCGACTGAATTGCTGTCGCCTCCAGCCGCTGCTGTCGCATTTTTTGATATGATTTGATTTTTTCCGGGTCCGAAGTGTCAACATCCGGCGCACGTAGAGGATCAACGGTACCAGACAACACCGAAAGCGTTTTCTTTAAAGACTTCAACCCCTGGCCCTTTTGCTCCACCGGGCGGACAGGGGTAGGTTCGGTCTCGTTATTCCCAGGCAGTACCTGCAGTGAATCTTCTTCCATGTTGCCCATTGCTACTCGCTGCAAGTCTGCAGCGCAGATCTGTCACAAGAAGTCAATTGCAAGACCACTTCAAGAAAAAAAAAGAAGCGCTTCACCTACCTCTGACAACTCGCCCAGCTCGAGCTCAGATAAAACCGGAAGCCCGAGGACATCCTCCTCGACTCCATCATTCTTAGCCATTTCCCAATACCTCCGGACCGTCCGATCACGCCTAGAGCCGTGTAGCATGCGCAACGCCATCCGGATCATGATTGCGTACGTCGTCGCATTTGGCTTGACAGAAGCCTGCGGCATCCTCACCTCGAACCACTTTTGCAGCGGCCAGGTCAGTTCAGTCTGCCTGTTCACGATCATATGTGAAACCATCGCCTCCAAATATCGATTGTGGAGATCCAAGTACTCGGGCGAGCCCGGAGGGTAGAATTGCAACAGACGAGTCAATAGACTGCCGGCACGTTCGAATTTGCCAACTTTGAGTGAAACGTCAAAATTGGCAAGCATCTCCGACGCATCACCTCCAATGCCATTGATTTTCCGGAAAACTTTCGGTTTCGTCTGTAAGGAGGTCTCCACTATGACGATGGAAGGATCCCTGGAGTTGAGATGCGAAGAAAATTCAGAGGGGACCCATCGTACAGAAGAAGAGTCATTGTTGGAAGCGGTTGGGTAATGAATATCCTCGAACAGATTCTGGCGACCAGGCTCGATGATGGAATTGTCTGTAGCAGTGGCCAAGCTCCGAGTAGAGAGTAAAGATGGTCGGCGGCGGCCAGGCTCGTTGGAAGTCGAGGGAGCCGGACCGCTCATCGACTCCGGCCGACTTGATTGGAAATGGAGTCTCGATGCCGCTGGACACAGCCAGGGCAGGGATAGCTGCTCGGCTGATTGGCGTAAATGATGAAACACATTTCGGCGACGAGCTGCTCGAGGTAGCATGGCTGTAGAACGGAAGGTTGTTCGGACGTCGACCGGGAGAGGGAGAGGACGGGTATTGAGGATGCAATGCGCGAAGTAATTAGATAACAATTATACAGAGGACAACTTAATTATACACATTCAGAAGGAACAAGAACAGAAAAAGATGCAGAACAAAAAAGAGAATGACTGCCAGAAGGGGAGAGGGAAGAGAATCGAGAGACGATCGATCCTCCAGCAACCGACAACCTCTCTCACGACCGGGAGTAAGGGAGAGTCCAGGGCTCTCTCTCAATCAATGACCTGAACTTCCAAGGAAAAAAAAAGAAACCTCCTTCTACAGTGGAAAGAGAGGAGGAGTTGAAAGAAGGAAGACAGGCAGTGTTGGTTCTGGGGGTTGAGAGATTCCGGCTAGGAAAAAAGGAAACATAACCAAACTGCCAGAGCTGCGGGAGCAAAATCTACCCGCGAAAAAAAGATAGCCTGTCGCGCGACACCCCCCGGGGCCCGATAAAGTCACGTGACATCACAGGTTATCCACTTCCCCTTTTTTTGCCCTTCGATGGCATTCGCTGCTCCACCGCAGCACCAGCCACCAATAATGAGCGGTGAATTTGTGAGTTGTGATTGATCCTCGTTCGACGGAGTACTCCGCTGTTTGAGAGTCGTCAATATACCAACAATCCTCTTTGCCGTTGCTACTGCTGAGTGAGCAATTAATATTAATACGGTACGGACCATAGTATGCATGGGTACGGTACAGACTCAATCCTCTCCGCCGCCACCTGGTTGACCTCCACCCATGGTTTCCTGATAAACAAAATTCTGAAAGAACGGCAATAATAGATTGAGCAATACAGGTCACGGTGAGAGCATGCTTATCACCTAATTCATTAGTGTGACAAGCCTTTGAATAGAGCAAGCGCAGTACTCTGTATATGCATTCGATGACAGGATAAAGAGTAAATGCACACGATAATGTGGGCAGAAGAAAAGGTTCTTTCCGAACTCGGTTCTATTTAGCTTCTACAGCATAATACACAGTCAAGAGAATGGAAAGCCTCTCTGATAAATATCATTAGAAGTAGCCTTCAAACATAATCGGTCTATTGCATCCCTCGTTGATAAGTGCTTAGACATTATCGTGTCTGAAGAAGCGGGTATCGTGTCTATCGTCTTATCGCCGTTCTTGCAGAAGGCGAAGGAAAAGAAGAATGGGAGAGATCTCCTGCGACAGTCCTAGGCTTCGTCAATCACCCTTCTCCAGCCTCAGCTGTGGCGCGCTTTTGCTTCTTCCGATTCTGCTTCATTGCCCATCCCGTCAGCTCCGGGTGAGCCGGATCGACTCGTGGTGCGCTCATCTCATCAAGATAATCTTCGCCGTCGATCGCCGATTGGAGTTGTGGTAGTTCCTCGGGGTTATTATGGATCATGTAGTTCTCGTACGTGAACCACGCTTCCTCCGTCTGTTCAAAACCACATTAGCATCGATCTGTTCTCACCGCTGTGGGGATCTTTTTATCTCTTACCTCAGCGTCCACCCATTCATAGGACTCCCACTTCTCATCCTGCATTTTCTTCAAGAGTTCGATATTGCCTGCCACGATGGCTTCTCCGCCTTCTGCCGACTTGACCTTCACATCAATCACCCGTGCTTCGGCATCTCTTGGCGCAGCCTCCTCATCCCCGTCTCTTTTGGCTCTGGCCGGCTCTTGCCTTGGTAAGATCTTCAGCAGCATCGAGATGATGAAGTTGGGGTCGCAATTGGACGACAGCAGAAACAGGCGAAAGATAGAGATTTTCTGAAAAGCAAAGTCGAATTAGCCGTGAACTAAACGAGCGAGTAAAAGAGAGACATACTTCCACGGAAGGCCCCTAGCATGTAAAGCGGATCACCGTCTTGAGGATTCTTTATCATCCCCCCCAAAGTCTGCACCTTCAATAGCGACTTTGCTTGGGGCTTTCCCGTCTTCTCGTCATCCACCATGTCCACATCCTCGTCTTCGACCTTCACCCTCGCCGCACCGCTAGACGAATTGAAGCCTCCGGCCAGTCCGTACGCCCCGCCTTGGTTTGTGGCGCGACTACGCTTCAAGGCCTCTCCGTACTTGAGACCTTTGCTCACATCGTAGTTCACCTGGGTGTTGATGGGAACGTCAACCTCGACAAGCCCCGTCTTTGGCTTGAGCCGGAATACCGTGGGCTTTTGCCCGTTCCGTTCATCGTAAGCATGGCCTGTCGGGCGGTCGACGTATTGTAACACATAGCGCGAGATCTGTGAGTCGGTGAGGTAGACATCGTAGGAGGCCACGATAGGATCGGAGGAAGCCATTTTTTTGTCAATTGACTGATTGAATGGTTGGTTATCGACAGGCAAGTTGCCAGGACGAGCGGGAGTGGGAAATCCGAGTTCGACGGAAAACTCGAAGCGTTGTCGCACTCCGAACAGGAAACTTCAAACGTCAACCTGACTGCATGCTAGTCAAGTAGATACCTGGCAAGCAGATGACGGAGAAAAATGCAACAGCCTATTTTATCGGACGTTGCCCGTCCATATAATTAATCCCAATGAATTGGGACTGACTGCTGCATGCACTGGTTGGTGCGGGGATGACAGATGAATGAGCTTAGGTGCCCAGGTGCCTTTTTTTCGGAGAGCTTATCGATAAGCCCGCGTCCACTCGCCACACATTAAAACTACCGCATTGAAGGCACAGCCCGGCATTGGTTTGCATCAAGAATCGTTTCGTTTCCGCCAATAAAAGTGTTCATAATATCGAAGTTGCATAATCCGCTGCGTTTACTACTACAGTTTCACTGCATGATTGGAATGCCATTTCAAGGTAGAATACACAAGCTTTAAATCCACTGCATTCGCAAAAGGTGGAAATTACTACAGATTGAACAAAATACAACGCAATATGAACAGTACATACTGTACGAATCCTTACTGTCAGCGCCTGGAAGTCCTAAGTGGTAGCGATCTCACTCGTGAAAGAGAATGTATGTACGGAGTACAGTACAATACATACAAACAAGAATTCGAACAAAGCAATCATGCAGAAGCATTCATAATCTGGGCTCTGCATCTCATGTGAAACTCATGTACAGTACATACATACATACATTCGACGCAAGAGCTAAGCTCTATCTAAGTACAAGGAACCAGGTTTCATACATTTCATACAAGTGAAACAATTTAAAAAAAAACAACATGAACATTCAACAGTCTAAATACGACGAAAACATCAATCGAACTAACCAAGGGTGACTATGCTTTTTTTTTCTTAGTTTTGTTTTGTAATAGATGCTGCGCAATGCCATAATTTACTCCTCTTCTTCAGCGACCTAAAAGAATTATTAGCCATATGAAACAGAAAAAAAAAGCAAGAGATACGAATGGCCAAACTTACCCCTTCGTGGAAGTTCTTCCCTTCCGTCGTCTCCTTGATAATACCGGCGCGAATGCACCAGTCACCAAACCTCTCGGGCGTCTCGCCATCGGTCTTGCGCTCAAGCGCATATCGCTTGAGGAGACCCTTCATGATGTCGAGGATCTCATCCTCCTTGATCGACGACCTGTAGAGTTTGTTGAGACGCTGACCGTGATAACCGCCACCCAGGTACATGTTGTAAGCGCCGTATGCCTTGCCGACAAACGCGACTTCGGCAAGCCATGGTCGTGCACATCCGTTCGGGCAACCGGTCATCCGCATGACGATGCTATCCCTGGACAGACCATTCTCCTCAAGTGTTGCTTCGAGTTTCGTGATGAGAATCGGCAGGTACCGTTCAGACTCGGCCATGGCAAGACCGCAAGTAGGGAAAGCCACACATGCCGACGAGGACAGACGGAGTCCGCTGAAGGAAGTGTTGTCGAGCTTGTACTTGGCCATGATAGACTTGACAGTAGGAAGATCAGCGTCCTCGATATTCGAGAGGATCAAATGCTGGTTGCCCGTCAGACGGAACTCGCCCTTGTTAAGCTTGGCGAGCTCGCGCAGACCAGTCCGCATGGGGAAATCGGCGGTATCTTCAACACGTCCGTTCTCGATGAAGAACGTGAAGTGGTTCAAGCCCTTCTCATCTTTCTGCCAACCGAACGTGTCGATATTGGACACGAACTTGAAGGGACGAGGCTCCGCGAAGCCCAATCCTTCCGGAAGTAAGGCCTCCACCTTGGCTTTGAACACATCCAGGCCCATGTCGTCGATGGTGTACTTTAGACGGGCGTGCTTACGGTTCTTCCGGTCACCGTGGTCACGCTGCACAATCATGATCTTCTCACACACAATGTGAGTCTGGTCGGCGGGTACAAAGCCGAGCATAGACCCAGTTCGAGGATAGGTCTTCTTGTTGTTGTGAGTCACACCCATACCACCACCCACGAGAACATTGAAACCTTCCAGGTGCCCATCAGCTCCCTTGATGGCAATGAGACCAATGTCGTGAGCGTAGACGTCCGTATCGTTGTGAGGAGGTATGGCGATCGTGATCTTGAACTTCCTGGGAAGATACGTTGGCCCATAAAGAGGTTCATGATCCTGAACTGCATTACCCGCAACTTGGACCTTGTTGTCATCGTCGTCTTTCAGCCATATCTCGTGATAGGCCGTGGTGGATGGCAGGAGGTGATCGCTGATCCTCTTCGCGACAGCATGACACTCACGATGAAACCCGGACAGCTCGGGAAGAGAACTGCACATAACATTACGGTTGACGTCACCGCAAGCTGCGAGAGTGGTCAACATGGCCTTGTTGATGGCGCGCATGGCTGCACGAAGTTTGCCCTTGACCACTCCATGGAACTGGAATGTCTGTCTCGTTGTGAGCTTCATGGTTTCATTACCGTACGCGCTGCTGATGGCATCCATCTGCAGCCATTGAGACGGCGTCGCAACACCTCCAGGGAGACGGCAACGGATCATAAAAATATATTTCGGCTCCAGACCCTGAGCCTTGCGCTCCTCTCGGACGTCACGGTCATCTTGCATGTAGGTTCCATGGAACTTGGTCAGCTGTTGGTCGTTAGGAGAGATGGCGCCAGTGCTCTCATCCCGGAGACCTTCCGCGATAGTTCCTCGGAGATAGTTGGACTGAAGCTTGATGTCTTCATTTGTCAATGGCGGAGGTTCCTCCGGCACGCCTTCGACTTTATCAACGCCGAGAGCCTGCCAGAGGCGGGGCTCCCATTCGTTGTAACCAGTCTGGTAACCATCTGGGTCCTGGTCATCGCCAAGGCCAAGGTCCGTGAGCTTCCGACCACCGAGGAATGAAATCCTGGCGTCAAGATCTTTGGCCGGCTTGTTGTAGTAGATCTTATCCTCCTTGCGAGGCCAGTAGTGGCTGTCACCCAGACCGAAAACGGAGTACTTAATGGTGGACAGGTCGAGATCACCGGAGGTTCTCACGACCTCCCAGAATGCACGGCCATTCTGAGGGAATTCTCCCTGACCCGCAGTGCTAGTAATGAAAACCACATTTTCCTCCGTGGGGAGATCTTCAATTGGGTAGTCATCCATGGCCATGACCATGGTCTTCAGACCTCTCGCACGACCGCGGTTGCCCAAACGCTTGGCGAGGCTCTGGGCGTTGCCGTTGTCAGACGCAAAGAGAATGGTCAGAGGAGCCCCATAAAGCCCTTCCAGCAGCTTCTCATATGAGTCCTTGGCTTTGCGCTTCTGAAGAGCTCGGACTTCAGTGCCATAGGACCCTGAAAGGTTAGAAGCGAATTTCGGATGACGCTTCATGAGCTGCGTCAGCTGGTTGTCTCTGCGGAGGAACTCCTCAAGCTCCCGTCTGATGCGTTCCGAATCAAGAGAGAATTTCGGCTCGCTGTTCTCGTCTTTGCCTGGGTTCCATCGGTACAATGGCCAGTAGCCGAGATCCACAGCCTTCTTCGTCTCCTGAAGGACGGTCAACGGGGAGTCGTTCTCCTTGTAGTAGGGCAGGTAGGCCACAATAACTGAGGGACCCTCGAATTGATCAGCCTCAGCCATAGCCTGCAGGACCTGCGAGTAGGAACCATAAACAGCCACGGAAGCCACATAGGCGTTACCAAAGTTCATGGCGTACAGGCCAATGTCCTTCTTCCTCCGCGAAGCATCGGCAGCGGCGTGCTCTGAGTAGGGCTGCGAATCAATGATGAGCATGTTGACATTCGCTCCCGACGCGAGGACGTGATGAACACCAGAGTTGCCAAGGTCGTAGGCCCATGCATCAGAGCCGATGAGCCACTGTGATTCCTTGTAGAAGAGCTGCTTCGATTCCAGGAGTTGTTTGGCCACTTTCGATCCATCAGTGGTCAGACGAGCAATGACATCAGGAGCAAGGCTGTTGGCTTTGGCCGGGTCTCGAGCGCTCAAAGCCCACCGAGACAACCATTTCTTTGGTGTATCGGTGGCAAAGCTGTTAGATTTGGCCGCCTCCTCAACTTCGGTGATGAACCGTTCACGGTGCTCCATTCGGGCAATCAATGAACCAAACCCGTACTCAGGGCTGGCAGCAACCGTCGCAGAAATACCAGCATTGTTCGAACCAAGTTGATTGGCCACGTACAATCGGTTGCCGAACAGCTGCTCGAGAATCTTAATGTAGGCGTTTTCGAGGTGGGGCTGCTCGATGCTTGGCTGAGGAGCAGACTCCTTGTGCTTGCCAATCTCCAGGTTCTGGATGGGAGACTCAGACTCGAGGTTGTAGAGAATGCCCCGCAACGCTTGAACAGCCGTAGATGGCTCAACGTATCCAAGTCGGTATGCAACAAGACGCGGCGGCTTAGTTTGACTAGGCGACGTCGTCAAACTCGACAGGAGATCCAAAAAGGAGGGACCCCACTTCGTAGTCTTGCGAGCTTGCTCCAACACCGCAATTCTCTCAATAGATCTCGGGATTAGGTTCGAGATCTGGCTTCCGACCCACGGACGGTACAGACGTGCGGTGATAATACCCACGTTCCCAATATCGGTCTTAGCTTTGTCTTGCTCGAGGGCATCAACAAAAACTCCAGTGGAGCCGAAGATGAAGATCGCGAACTTCGCATTCTCAGGTCCAGTATACTCAATGGTCCGGTAATGCCTTCCAACGGTTTCGAAGAGGACGGTCCAGATCTGTGAGGTCAAGTTGAATATGTCCGCCGCGTTGACAGGACGGACACCAGAACCGTCAACACTTGTGGCCGAAGAGCTGACAGCATGGCTGTCAGTACTGCTGTCCCTCCTGGAGGAGCCAACAGACGAGTTATCCTGGCTGGTGGCCGAAGGCGTCTTGGACGGGGAAGAAATCGCGGCAGCAGAGGCAGCAGCCTCCACAGCTGGAGACTTCTCTAGCCCGACTTCAGGGACCACCGCAACCCGCCCAGAATCAGCATAGAGAGTCGGCTCCTCGGCACCAGAAGTATGAGAAGCTCTGGCACCGTCCAGATCGAGCACCTTCTTGACGACCTCGACATCCTCCACGGAAATCGCATCATCATCCGCCGAATTCGCCGGGTCGAAGAAGTGAATGACACCCTTTCCCGATTTGAGCGCCAGAGCATGGGCGGTCAGGGCAATATCTTGCGCTTCTTGCAGCGTCTCGGAGTGAAGGAACGCAAAGCCACACTGGCGTATCGAGCTGATAACGGAGAAGTCTGGGAAGGGCGACGACTCAATGGCGACGTGGATCACGATGGGGTAGTTTGCCAGACGGTAAAGGTGTGTAATGGCATTGAGGAGCACGGAAGAAGTGGTCGTAATCGACACGGTCTTGCCCGACTGCAGAGGATGAAAAGCAGACAGAAGAGGATCTTCATTGTATCGAACTGCTCGCACCTGGTGTGGTTATTAGCGACTGAAGTAGAGCCGAACAGAATTCAAGGGGATCCTTACCTCTGGCGAGCCCTTCGACACAATGCTGCTGGCATTGCGCTCCTTCAGATCCCTAAGAGTCTTGGAGAACTGAGAGTCCGTCTGCAGAGACGGCTGAACAGAAAGAACAACATCGCTGGCAAGATATGCGATTCTCGCCACTATTCATTTTGATCGCAGCTGTCAGCCCACATGAACCGCCAGGGCCCTAACCCATGCGACCAACGCGCATAGTCGAACACAAACAAATAATTGATTATCAACAAAAAAAAAAGGACATTTAAAAGAGACGCAAGACTTACCAGCTTGGCCCGCAGTTTTAATGGACCCCATACTGACGGACGCAGGCAGCGCTTCTCAAACTGCAGCGTAGAAGGGGTGGAACTATATCTAGCGAATCAAGGGCCGCGGTGACGGCATGTATTCAAATCGAATGCGTTGTGACAAGGAAGGGCAGCGACACAACACCGACGGTGAGCAAAGGGAAAAGGAAAGAAAAGAACTTTTTGACAGAAATAATACTCCTCTCAGCGACGCTTAATTAGCCAGTCCATCACGGGGTTGAGGGGACAGCGAAAAAATATCCTTGCGATGCAGTCAGCGCGCTCTTCCGGCCTGTCCCCGGGTTAGATCATCTCGATTTTGATTGGCTGTTGATCACGACATCGATGCAAACAGCAAATCCCGGGGCATGCAAACATGCCCTTCCGGGATACCATGCGGGGTCCCGTGACGACGAGATCGGAGGGCGACCGGCGTTGCTGTCCATCACCGGGCTATTTTTTTTTCTTACTTGTTCTTTTGCTGGTGATCTCGTCGCTAGAAGAGTAAGATTGTCCAAATTGAAAGAAGTAATTCAATTGGAAATGCCTGTATGACTATGTTTGCAAAACGCGCCAGAGGCATAGATGATATAGATGATTTCTGACAAGTGTTTTGCATCATCCACACCCAATAACTACGTGATTGTTTTCTCCGCACGAGAGAGTGCCCCTCGGTCGAGAAAACCATTGGGCTGTAGAGGGCTACTACTGGCGTTGGCCATTAATGCCCTACTCTCGGTCGAGAAATGAATAATCGCGCCACTAGTAGGGCCGGATCTGTCAGGCAGCATGCGGGGGTAAGAATTTCCCCCAACGGCAATTGAATAATGTCAAGACCTTAGAGGCTAGCATTGCAACTCTTACTGAAATAAGACAACCCCTGCGAAGAAAAATAATACCAAGATACTATCGCTTATCCGCTGATGATATTTGCCTATCCAATGGCATAGTATTTATTTCCGATATAGATATATCACAGAATACCTATCCAATAACGATCACCTGTGACGCCAACCAGTTTCGGCAAGAGCCCAGCGCGCTATAAATACGGCACACGCTGTTCGCGACCTCAATTGGTCGAGTTACTGCCCTGAAAGACGACCAGCAAGAGTCATCCCAAGAGCTTAATGCGGCATTAAGTGGCTGTTTAATCATAAGAAAGAGATGAGATAGCATATAAGCGCCTGTAACCGATCCGTTTCACAACACCCAGGCCAGCAACGATACAAGCCCTATAAAGAATCACGCTGGAAAGAAAGAGAGAGAAAGAGACAGAAAGAACATAGCTGGAGTAGAATGATCTATGACCACACAGCCCATCCGGAAATAGCTATGTATCATGCGTTCAACGCACATGCTCCCGAATCCTCGACTAGCAAGGAAACGTGGGAGAGATAGATAGCGCACTTTGGTCGGGGGAGAAGATGGTTCAGGGAGTATTGTCAGGTAACGGCATAAAAAAAACGCGGCGGTGACTGGGACTTGGCCGGCTAGCCGCAGCCGAATTATCTGCTCTCACTCAAGTCCTGGAGTTTCACATTCATCCCGGGCTCTTGACTGTAGGCTGGTTGCTGCAATGAAGCGGCTTGAAGAGCCGCCTGGGAAGGCTGTGGAGGACCGGTGCCGGACCGGCGTCGTCTTTCCCTCTCAGCTGGCCCAGAGAGGGATAGATTGCTGCGCTTGCGGAATCTCCGACCGAATCCGTTCATCCAACTGAAATCTTCCTCCTCCGCTGAATCTGGACCAAGCCAGTAATCACGGAAGACGCTGGTCATGGCTCGACCAAGCACCCCCTGCCAGCCCTGGCCCTCAGGGGTGTGGGGGAGGAATGGGTCACGGTCGATATCAGCAGCACTAGCAATGGATGTGTTTCGGCTGTGGGTGGGCAGTTTATTATAACGCGGTTGTGAAGCATTCAACAATTGCTGGCGTAGAGCCTGCCTGGCAAATGCAAACATGACGAGAACGAAATATACCCGCACAAGCCACAGAGCCGCAATCATGACAATGCTCTCAAAGCTCTCTGGTTGCATCACACCATTGCCTAAGGTGGGTGTTCCATCAGCCCTTCCGCCAGAGCTTCCGGCGGGGGCACTGGCCGGGTAAGCAGCAACGACGGTGTCTTCCCCATCAGAGAGGACGTTTCCAGAGAACTGCACAGAAGATACATTGTACTTCGGACTGGTGAATCCTGCAGTCTCGCCGATGGTATCGGTGCCGAATCCAGAGGTAGGCGCATTGTGATAGTGCTGTGAGACGACAAGGAACCATGATACCCCAAACGCAGCGGTGTAGGCGGCATTGATGACCGTATCTAGGAGATAGAACCAAGCGAGACCCAAACACTGCAATGGCGACTGCTTTCGGATATGTGGAAAGAGAAACACCGTGAGGCCGAGGGCAGCAAGCGAGTAGATGTACATAGACAGCTGAACCGGGGACAGATGGTAGCCAGTCAACAAAGCAAGCAAACCGTACAGTCCGCTAATCTTGTTGAGGAGCAACGACAGCGTTATGAGAGAGGCCCCTGTCTGCAGACTCATCACACAGAGAAAACTCTGTGCCATCATGATTCTTGTCAGCAGATGAATAGAGCGAAAGCAGGCGAATCCTTCGCGGTGAAGGACGAGCTGGACTCAACGCACCTGTGGCCGCGGGATGCGGAAAAAGCGGCAACCCATCTTGTTGCCGCGGGGGACGGAAATATGAGGTGCTGAGAAAATACAGGGAGCGAAGAAGCGAAAGATCTGGGCATCCAGGTGTTGGCGTGAAGAGGAAAAGGTCAGCGAAAAAGGAAATGGGTGGTCGTGGTTCGGCAGACGACTGACCAGAGTCGAAGAGGCGGGCGCTTATGTTAACTTTTGAGGCGCCCTAAAACCCTTCTGCCTATCCCTAGCCGGGGCTGCCGGCCACTAGGGGCTCGGATGACGTCGTGCACCAACCGAATTGGCAGCATCTCACGTTCCACGCGAACTCTGGCCAAGATGATACTATAGCCCAATTATAAAGAATGCGAGTGCTGTATTGTCCCAGGTACTACGACATTGTCAATTTTGGTAGAATCGGGTTTGGCAGTGCGACCCGTACTCTGTGTTGCGAGGATTTAAGGCATCTAGTTTAAACTTTATGCATCAAGGATAACTTTGACACTAAGCCTAAGATAATCTGCATTATTTCAGCCACATCAGATACGAGGATCCCGTGATCTTAACGCTTCCCAGCTGATATTATTCTTATGTTTTTGCCTGAAATCAAACCTAGGGGGGACTTTTTTAGAGAATAGCACTAAATGAATCTGGCGAATACTCAAAGAAGCACAATAAACTAGCTGCAATTCTAACAAAAACCCCCTGTTAGGTAGGGATTATCGCTTCGCAAGTTGATCTACCCCCTGTCTCCGTGATATTATTGGTTGTCCGAAATTGGTTTGTTGAATTTCCCCAACGCTTACTCCGTACGGAGTGCTTTGGGTGTGACATATCGCTCTGCTCAAGCGACTGCAGAATTGAATCAAATATTAACTACGCACTCTATAAAAGAACCACCCACGAAAAGGGGCCCTCTAAGCTTGCTTGAATCCTAAGGTGGATATTTGCCAAACAATAGCTTGACGTTGGTCAATTCTCTCAAGTGGCGCAAGCAGACATCTTAGCAACCCATCACGCAGGGCAAGAATACGCTAGGGAAACAACAACATCAACAAACCATGCTTCTCTGCCACGTGAAGCCTGCTGACTTGATATTCAGTCACAAACGGTCTGCTTGTCGAACGGGATCATGGAAGAAGTTTGGTGACGCCTCGACAAAACATATCCAACGTTGCTATAAGAAAACGACAACACAAAGCATACGAACGCCCCAGTGCCCTTTTTCTCGGAGTGGCAATACGATTGTCGTCGATATTGAGCAGGAAAGCATGAAGAATCGAACTGAGAACCCGGATACAGACAACATTAGGGTTCAAAAGGCAACTTTCTAGGTATACCGGATTCAAAAAAAAACAAGACGAAAAAGGCGTTAAAAAATCATGTACATGTCCAGAATGAAAGACAGCGTAGATTATAGACAGCAGAAAATATGAAGACAAGCGTCTGGTATAATCGTGTGCGTTCAGCAGGCACATCCGTCATTGCTGGTCGTCTCTCTAGGAGTGATATTGACATCGATCACTATTCAGATGAGAATCGGAAGTTAGTTGACCTGCACCCACCCAAAAACAAGAAAAATATATACAAAAGGAAAACGTACTTTGACTCTCCCCTTTGTTGGCCTCACCCTCCATGCCTGGGAGTGCTTGCGCTATCCGCCTAAACAGCTGTTTCACATTGTGCCCAACTTTCGCACTGGTTTCAATGAACATCAGGCCATTTCTCTTGGCCTCCTCCTCACCCTGTGCCGTTGTGACCTCTCGCTTGTCGTTCAAATCCGTCTTATTGCCCACGAGGACGATTATCACATCGTTGCCCCGTTCCCCTCGAACATCGTCCACCCATTTACGCGTGTTCTGGAATGATTTCGCGTTCGAGATGTCGTAGACAACGACGGCTACACTGGAGTCACGGATGTATGAAGGGATAAGCGATCGGAATCGTTCCTGACCAGCGGTGTCCCACAACTGCAGCCGGACCGTTCTATCTTCAAGGTACATGGTCTGCAATCATGACAGAAGCGGTTAGAATAACGTGTTCACTCTGGTCGTTTGCGACGGAGAGGAAGAATGAGGGGAAGATTCCCCGGCGCAAAGGGAATGCATTGTTCGCATACTTTTGACAGAAAGTCGATTCCAATTGTCGCCTGATACGTGTTGTCGAACGAGTCATACATAAAACGCGTAATTAGGGACGTCTTTCCAACTGTGGCGAGGTCAGAACGGTCGACGTGGTTGTGTCTGGTGAAGGTAACAGGCGACGACGATACATACCACTCTGTTCTCCAAGGAAGACCAATCTGCGCGCGCGTTAGTGCCATTTGTCTCCCAGACGGACCAGAAGGAAATGAGCAGTCTGGATCGTACTTGAACTTCTTCAAAGGGTTCGAATACGACCCCACAGCGGACTGGGAAGCCATGGCCACGAATGCTGGTACGGTAAAGACTCAGGGGGGAAAGAAATGAGCGCCAAACAGAAATCCGCAGACAGGAAAACTATAAGAGAAGGCAACGAGCCAGAGGTCATGCAAGGAAGAGTCGTATCCGTCGTGAATGCAGAAGCGCGCCGGGACCCCGAGGACGGGCGATGCTGGGGGGTGTTTGGGGTCAAGATGGGCAAGCAGCTGCTAACACATCCATGGATCCCGCCGGGGTTTAGCGGCTGCACGGGGAGCGGGTCCTTGTCACTGGTCGGTTTTCGCCGCCCCTCACCGCCCGGCATGTGCCTGGCCTCTCGTTGTTCCGTGCCGAAGCCAGCACTGCTCTGTTGTCCTGCCAGAGCTCCCGCCTGCTCCCTGCGCTCCCTGGTTCTGGAGGGCCTGCACATCCATCGTCTGTCTGCTGAATCCCATTGATGCGGGATCTGACGTAGCCATGGGGCTCGCGTATCCCGCCGGCGCTGCGACCGTGGCGCTCTCTGTCGTGGGTGCTTGTAAGAACAGCCTCCTTCCCGGCCACATGAGCTAGGCCACTGACTTGTTCTGCTAGACATGCTCTTCCATGGCGATGGAGAAGCGTTCAATGTATGGATCCCGGTTCCGTATGGTTGCGAACGTCTTTCTAAGAGTAGATTCTAGGTCGGAGAATTTCTTGAGGCCGTTTCTCCATATACTTGGGCGAACATTGGTATTGCTCTGTGCATAGGGCTTTCTGTCGTTGGAGCGGCTTGGTACGCGATGAACGGGACCGATTTCCACCAGAATACATGGCTGCAGCGGCTAACATTCCCTGTCCTGATGTTCGTAGGGGTATCTTCCTGACCGGTTCATCCATCGTCGGTGGAGGTGTCAAGGCCCCCAGGATACGAACGAAGAACCTGATCTCGATCATTTTCTGTGAAGTTGTCGCTATCTACGGTGTGATTATGGCCATCGTGTTCTCGTCGAAACTCAACCTTGTGGAGGGCGACACCATCTATTCGGGCAGCAACTACTACACCGGCTATGCTCTCTTTTGGGGAGGCGTCACGGTGGGATTTTGCAACTTGATCTGCGGAATCTCAGTCGGCATCAACGGAAGTGGTGCTGCGTTAGCTGACGCTGCAGACCCTAGCCTGTATGTTTCCCACACTATGCCCTTTTCCAGGCTCCTCGCTGACAGAGGCACAATAGATTCGTCAGGATTCTGGTTATCGAGATCTTCAGCTCTGTCCTTGGCCTGTTCGGTCTGATTGTCGGACTTCTGGTGGCTGGAAAGGCGGCCGAATTCGAGTAAATGTCGATCTGGGTTATCGAGAGAAGCTCCTAGTGAGCGTGATGTACCGACTGCGGTGTTCATCGAACCCCTTTCCTATGAGCATATATAGCACGAGGCGCATGGTCTTTTATGTGATGGTTAGAATCCGCGGGATTAGCACGAACGATGAAATGATTTTGCGTCGACGGATGACGCAGCGGATGTACAGTATGACTCTGGGAAGGGGAGGTTCCAACTAAATATTAGAATGCACTTTTTGGGTTACAGATAGAGAGCCTATCCGTATTCTAGTATTAAGCAGAAACGATGTCGAGATCGTAGTTCGGCTTGGCTTCTGCGGAAGTGTCCAAGGCGGGACCAACGACGGTCATTCCGAGTCTATTAAGACATGACGAACCCGGGCAGCGTCACAGGTCCCTGCCGGTCAAGTACCTCGTTCCCAACAAACGATAACCTTCAGGCCCATTAATGATACACAATGTCAGGGTCCAAGCTCAGGGCTGCAGTTCTGATCGTTTCCGATACGGCATCCCGCGATGCCGCATCTGATAAGGCTGGCCCCGCTCTGACTGCCGTCTTTACTGCAGAGGAGCGATCAAACACATGGGAAGCCCCGGTTGTCAAGGTCGTGCCAGACAATGTGCTGGACATCCAGCGCGCGATCTGTCAATGGGCAGATGGCGAAGAGTATTTCAACCTGATCATTACTAGCGGTGGAACAGGATTTGCAATCAAAGACAACACGCCTGAGGTTCGTTGAGGCCCTGTCCACCATCCGCGCGATAACCTGCTCTCAACACATTTTATTCGATTCTCTATCTTTCTTTTTTTTGTGTTTATGCTTTCTCAGTGTTCTATATCCTCGTCTGACAACACAATTCTTTTATCAGGCAGTGTCGCCTCTCATTCATCGCCATGCACCAGGTCTTGTGTAAGACATCCTTGGCTTTCTCAGCTACGAACACGAGCTGATTAATCAACAGACATGGCATGCTTGCTGCCTCCCTGAATATTACTCCATGTATGGAGAAAGCTATTCTGGCTTCATTTTCTGTTTAGGAAAGTCTCACTAACGTTTTCAGTTGCGATGATGTCCCGCCCCGTCGCAGGAGTTCGAAACAAATCGTTGATTGTTACTCTGCCAGGGTCACCTAAAGGTGCTAAAGAAAACCTCGAATCGATTATCAATCTCATACCGCATGCTTGTATTCAAGCTGCAGGAGCGAACTCCCGAGCAATTCATGCTGGCGGGGTAAAGAAGCTTGAAGCGGAAGCAGGAGTATCTCCTGTACAGCCCTCAAATGCAAACCATCATCACCACCACCATCATCATCACAGCCATGCCCATAATCATGCCCACGGACACGCTATCCCCAAACCACATACTTCCCCAGAAGACAGACCACGGTCCAATGACCCGAATGCCGGACCTACAAGACGACATCGCTCGTCTCCCTATCCGATGTTGTCAGTGGACGAAGCGCTAAAGATCATAGTCGAGGAGACACCAAATCCATCTATCATCGAAGTCCCGGTCACCACCGATCTCGTTGGATCAGTGATCGCAGAAGATGTCTACGCTGGCGAGGCTGTTCCCGCCTATCGGGCCAGCATCGTTGATGGATATGCTGTTATTGCTCCCGAGTCCCCATCGTCCGGAGCAAGCACAAAGGGCATATTTCCGGTGGCTTCTGTCTCCCACGCACAAGCCTCGTCCATGCCACCACCTCTCGAACCGGGCACAATCGCCAGGATTACTACAGGAGCACCTCTCCCTCCTAACGCCAATGCCGTGGTCATGGTCGAAGATACTGTCCTGGTTTCGACCACACCGGATGGGACTGAGGAAGCGACAGTGGAGATCCTAACCGGAGATATCAAGCCCGGCGAGAATGTACGGGAGCCAGGAAGCGATGTCGCATTGGGCTCCAAGATCCTCCAGAAAGGGGACCTCATCTCCGCCGTCGGTGGTGAGATAGGTCTTCTGGCATCAACCGGGACAAAGACCGTCAAGATCTTTAATAAGCCCCGTGTCGGTGTCTTGAGCACTGGCGACGAGCTTGTTCCGCATGACGATCCAAGGACTCTCACCGGAGGACAAATACGAGACTCTAACCGCCCATCTCTAATCTCGTGCCTGAGATCCTGGGGTTTCGAGACGGTCGATCTCGGAATCGCCCGTGACACCCCGGCAAGCGAACTGGAGCAAGCTCTCCGAGGCGCACTGCGCGGTATCAGCACTGCTGCTGGTGCTGGCGGAAACATCGGTGGCGTGGACGTGATAATCACCACCGGGGGCGTTTCCATGGGCGAGCTGGACCTGCTGAAGCCCACGATCGAGCGCTCCCTTGGCGGGACAATCCACTTCGGGCGGGTGTCGATGAAACCAGGCAAACCGACCACGTTTGCCACGGTGCCTTTCAAGCCCTCCTCGGACGACTCTGCGCAGCAAGAACGCGAGAAGAGGCTCATCTTCGCTCTCCCAGGGAACCCCGCCTCGGCACTGGTCACTCTGCATCTCTTCGTGCTCCCATCTCTGCACAAGTTAATGGGCCTGGGCAGCAGCCGTAGCCATAGCGCAGCAAATGCCCATGCCCGTGCCAACAATCTAGGCCTCCCACTCGTCTCTGCCGTCTTGACGCATGCAATCCCACTCGACCCGAAACGGACCGAATACCACCGCGCAATCGTAACGGCGTCCCGCTCCGATGGACGACTCTCCGCAACGAGCACGGGACTGAGCGGTGACCCTGGTGCCAGCTCGGGACAGCGCAGTTCCAGAGTAGGCAGTCTGGCAAAGGCCAATGCCCTGCTGGTGCTGCCACCTGGAGAGGGGAAAATCGAAAAGGGCCAGTTGGTAGAAGCGTTGTTAATGGCGCCAGTTGTGTCTGGGGAGTAGTAGATTACACATGGAATCTAATATAATTGATCCCAGACTGGAGGACATAAATACATGATGTATATCAGACAAAAAAGCCTTAGACAAAAAAACGCCATGCCCGCCAGGTTATCGCAATGTGAACCTGAAATTTGCAGTAGATATATCGACCATGCCATCTGTATTGTACTCCGTACGCGACTCTGTACTCCTTTCATCCATCAATCACTCCAAAGCCCGAATGCAAGGGAGAAAAAAAATGATGCACCCAATATGCCGTTATGTAGAAGACAACAGGTATATAAGAACTTTTTCTTTAAAAAAAAGCCCAAAATTGCGTTAAGATAGGCAAGCTCAGTCAGAATGGCGAGTCGGATACTCTTCACCTTTCGGCCTTCCAGCCCTTTTTCTTCTCTGCCCGCAGCGCTAATAGCGTTCCATCCCTACCTGGCCGTCGCGCGATCTCCAAGACTACGAAGCGCACAAATTCCGGGAGGACCCAGTAGCTGCTATGAGCGCTGAGCATGTTGAGATATTGGATGTTCAGGGGCCCACCGCCACCGGAAAGGTAGTAGTCTATCTGGCCATTGTCGTTGAGGAGCAGCATGCGCTTTTCGGCGATCTCTTCGCGTGTGAAGTCATGGGTTTCCATCTCCACATTGGATGGAAGCTTGGAGATGGCGGCCGGCGCGGTCGACACTGACTTGTGCGAGGAACTCCATCGGAAGACGCTACTGAATGACTGGAAAAAAGATGTAGTCGACGTCGGGATAGCGGCTGGCTTGAGGGATTCAGCTAGGTCGCTGTCGACTGCTGCATTCATTCGGTAGGCAATTGCTATATGCGGAAACCACTGTTAGAATTCTGACTGGAGCTTCAAACAAGACAAAGGGAAGTATCTCACGGTCTGTAGTGTGCATGATATTGTAGAGGTTGTCAAGAGCTAAACAACCGTACGTGTCAGCCTCTCCAGCGACGCCTGGTTGTCGATCTTCGCCCTCTCGACCTGGCTTGTCCCTTCCTCGTCGCGGAAGTAGATTTGCTGTATGAGAATCAGCTCCGATGCTCCTGAAACGGAAGATACATAGGTGATAGCAAAGTCAGACCTTTGTTCAACAGCAAGAAGAACCCAGCTGGACTTCCGCAAAAGAACACATTCTTGGGGTCGAATTCGAAGATATCGTCGTGCAATTTATCGCTGGAAAAGTCAATATGAGGCAATTTCGTTGGCTGATGGCTGAGGATATCCAACGCCATCGCACTCCCAAGAGAGTGGGCGACAAGATGGACCCTGCCATTCTCGTGGAACCCAGGGTTGTTCTTGCACCATAGCCGATATATTCTGTTCGCCTCCTTAACAACTGCCTGGATCATTTTGGGCTTGTGATGCGAGAGATAATATGGGATATCCAACATGACATCGCTGATGAGCGTCCGTATAGCCGGAATAGTATCAGGGGTGATATCTTTGAGAGTAAAGTGGTTCGCCATCGGGTCATCGGAATCCCGCGAATCTATTTCTGCGTCGGCAAGGGAGAGAGTGGATCGCCAATTGACTGGAAGGACCATGATGCCTCCATGATCAGGCCGGATATGGGGCCATATTTCCTCGTTGTTCAGTTCCATATTGACGGACCTCCGAAACCCATTGATAGCATGAGTGAAATGGAAGCTTTCTACCCGTTCTGAAAGTTTCTGACCAATGCCATGGATAACCAGCACCAAATCCGATGGACTGGGACGCGACTCCTCAATAGCACAAGCATAGCATATCTGCTCTCCACGGGCGAGATTTGCATTCCTTGTTTGAGGTCGCATCAAGTAATGTCTCATGTCAAACTTGGTCTGCTTGGATGGATGGAGTTTATCCCAAACCTGCCGGTTAAAGCCACGGACGACGGGGATGCCAATCTGCCTCCCTTTCCGAATGGAGCTGAGAGGTCGACGTCCCCTGGAGACAGACGGAAGAAGACTTGGACGGAGTATCTGTGCGTCTGTCGCGTCCACATAGATGACGCTGGAGTTTCTAAAGGGCTTTGTTTCTGTCTTCTCATCAGAGCCGCTAGCTGCGAGATTGTCTTCAAAGGTCAAGTCCTTCTTGTCTTCCTTTGCCCTGTCATCTGCTTCATGGGGTTTCGTCTTCAGATCGTGCGCCGTCCCAGGTCTGCTCACAGGCTTCCGATCCTCCTCCCACAGCTTGTAGACAATCTTCATCTCCGCCTCGGCGCCATTTTCAACGCAGCTATTTAGTTCATCCTGCCAGGCCTCGGTCCACGGGCGCATGTACAGATACCCTTCCTCAAGTTTATTAGCAAGAACTGGCTCAACAGGTAACATTGTATTTTTGTAAAACCACGTGGCCCTAAGCACATCTGATATGTCATGAAGCGGGCTCCAATATATGGGTTTCATCTATACTTCTATCAGATTTCTTGTCATGGGCTAAAAATAAGAGAAAAATATGAAGTTTTACCTTGAGATTTGGTAGTTCTACCAAATGAAGACGCGAGACACCAACAGGGACTTTGTACTGTTCAGACTCTCCATCGGATTCTTGTGACCTGACATCTAGCGTTTCTGAAGATTGACTAGCTTCAGCCTTCCTTGAAGTTTCTGCAGCAGCCTGACTGAGATCGGGATTTTGCGTCTCGACATCAGCTTCTTGGCTGGCTTCCCATTCACGAAATTGACCACTATTTCTTATTGTATCTTCCTCAGACCGAGGTTCAGAGGGGGTCCATGATCTCCGTACGGGAGCGCGAACAAATGGAGAGCTACCGGTGGGAGCAGTTGCAAACGATTCTCCTTGAGAGCTTGGGGCTTCCACTTCTTCCGAAAATGCTTCCCCTGCGCCTGGAGATGAGCTACTCTTCCGCTTCGCAGACTTGAACAGTCGTCCAAGAGGTGAACCTTCTCTTCTCTTAGACCCTGTTGGCCCATGCTCATGGTCCTTGGTAGAGACATCCGCAGAGCTGCTGGCTTCTTCGTGGCTTTGGAGACTAGACCGCGTTCCGGATGACCGTACGCGGCCGGAGGATGCGCGTTCACGGAGAGGTATTCCGGTGGCCTTTCCTGATGCCTCCGACGCCTCAGCCCGTTTGTTTGTGCTCTGCGCAAGCTTTGCTTTCCGGGCTTCTCGCAGAGCGCTCCATGCTTCCTCCAGAGCAATATTATCCCTAGCAGAGAAAGGTTGCGGCGAAGATTTGGTCTGCGCGGAGGACGAGCTTGTGGAGAGAGCTGGGAGCGGAGTCAAAGGATCATCAATAGGAAGAGAGGACGTGTAGAAGAATTGCGCGTTGACTTTCGGCGGTGTGGGCGATGATCGCAGGGCGGCCAGGTCTTCCTTCCGGGGGGCAAGAAGGCAGGTCGAGCCGTAGGTGTGGACGGGGCCCGCCATTTTGGGTTCAGAATGGTCAAGCAACTGTGATCACATCAGTTCTGCAGTAAGTGCCCGATATACGGACCGCATGGAGGTGTTCATGATCTCAAAGGGCGCTGGTGTACTGTTAGCTAGTAAGGCAGCCGTCGGAGACAGACAAGCAGCTAGCTGTATACGGCGAAGGCAGAAAGCCTCGAGTCACCAAGCTGCAAGTGGAAACCCACTTCCAAAGACGTCTATCCGCCTCAAGAGGCGACATAAAATTGATACCTAGCAGGATAGCATGGATTGCCGCATACCAGCTCTCCAGCTCCGGGCAAACAAGGAGTTCCGTTGCTATGAAGCGCGCAGGAGAAGCGATGACGTCGCACCACGTGCCGGGACCACTGGCTCTAATTACTCATTCCCGAAACTAAGGTGAGAATATCAACACCTGCATACTTGTTGCAACGAAAGATACTCATAAACCATCTAAACCATCTGCCTTCTATTTGATAAGCTTCTCAGCTATTTCACATTTGACGAGCAAAATATTAATACAGTACAGCCAAAGAGGGATGCTGGCAAAGGAAGGGAAAGGAACATTTTTTTGTTTAAAATTGCCAAAACTCGTCATCATTCATGAAAGCCGACAATGCAAGAAAATCGTAATCGTGAGGCATGTTCATGACTGTAGGAATGGGTATATCATTATCATTAGGGGGCTCGAGGCCCAGATCGTGACAATCATTTCATCTTGATCATGGCATGCTCCAGAACATAAATAAGAGTGGCAGATTAGTAGAGACATAACGTCAACTGATATGCTGAAAGGGTCGAGAAGACACGGCAAACTCGACACTTATCTTCTTCCAAGGCTGCGATTCTGCCGTTCAACGGGCACGGCCGGTGTGTGCGCGAGGGCTGCCTTTCCCATCGCTTCCTTCGGAGTTCTTCCGGCGATGTTCTGACATCTTCACGATAACCTTCATCTGAAGGAACTCAAAGTCGCGCAGAGTCGCGTCAGATGCACCAAGCATCTCGAGAATCTTGTGGGTGTCGTGCATATGCTTGCGAATAACGCTGTCGGGGTAACAAAAGGTTCTCACGCTCATCTCCTTTGCAACCGCCTTCCAGTTGTCCAGAGCCGACTTCAGAGCAACGGGGTTGATAGCATACTCGCCGTGGAATTCGAACGTACGAAGGTTGTACAGAATGAGTTCTCGCTGGGTAGCCTGATCGAACTGGAATTCGCTAACTTGAGCCCTGTTCTTGGACATCCAGAAGTTGGTTATCTTCTTGATAGATTCCGCGGACATGCGGCGTTTATGGAACTGGTCAAGGAGGAATTTGTTGGCAGTCATGCAGATCATGACTTCGATCTCGCTGTACATCTTTGCCTGCGTCGGGGGATCCAAAGAGATGGGGAGTGTCGGTCTCGAAACGATCCTGGGTGGTGAGTTGTCCTGACGAGAGTCTTTCGGAAAGGCTTTGGCCATATCACCCGTCTGGAATATATATGTCAGAAGATCGTTTTGCACGGAACGTTTGCAGGGAGTACTTACCACCCAATCTTCCACCTGCTGCTTGATCTTCTCGCCCACTTTCTGGAGCGCCGTTTTCCGGTACCTCTCATCGGGTTGCTCCTTCATGCTCGTAGTGCGACCAAGCCATCCGTTTTCTCCAAAGAGCTTCTTATGGGGAGATCTGGACCCCTTTTTAGGGCTTCCGTGGAAGATATCGATGTCATCGTCGTCATCGTAATTCAGGTGATTTCTGGAGACTGAAGGTCTCACCAGAGGACGTCCTCGAACAGGAGTTGAAGGCTGAGAATCAACCGTGTTTTTCTGCTCTGAGAAATCGAAGTGAACATGACGATGTTCACGCTGGTAAGCACAGACTTCATAAGCTTCTTCATTCTTGATGTGAGATTCTGATTTGGAGTGTGGAATGTGCTTTCGAACGAAACGTGGTTCACTCTCCGAACGGGGGAAGAATCTCGGGGAAGAATCGTATGACGAGCTGCTCCCCATGCCTGTAGAAAGAGACGTGTCCAAGAGAGCCTGTTGCTCGTGGTGATACTGGTTCCCATGGAGAGTGTTCTCGTAGGGGGACGGTCTATCATCTCACGTCAGTACAAGAGCGAACGATGTTAACAAGCCTGAATACTTACTCATCGCTTAGCATGATAGGAACTTCCTGAGAGGCATTGCTGATAATGTCGGATGGATCAACAAAATCCGGGTTTCTGTTCTCCGTAGAACGGAGTGGGACGTTGAGAGGTTCGGGTTGCAGCGAATCAAGCAGCTGTCGAGCAATAAGGCGGAAACTATCCTTCGAATCGGACGATGAAGACGATTGACTCTTTGCAGGAGATGAGGATAGAACGGCCGAGTCTGCGGATGGTTTTCTGGCCACATCGAAGACATTGCGATGCTGTTCGAAGCTTGCACGTCGTATCTGGCGTAGGCTGGCAGAGGAGGCAGCTCACGGTTGACGTCGGGAACCGGCCTTTTGTACTGACAGTGATGGTAAGTTTTCAAAGGAGTCGATAGAACCGTCATTCTGTCAAATTGATATGGATGAAGATCAAAGTGGAAAGCACAGTAAAGAAAATTGCAGATGGTGAGATTTGGCCAGTGTTTTTGTTTCTGGCGCGTCGCTAGGGAGATGGAGCTTCACGAGCTGACTTGGTTGTGTGTTGCTCCTCGAGGATATCAACGCTCTCCCATGGAAGCAGGAAGCATTCGTCCTGGTTTGAGTAGAGTCGTGATGGATGATCTTTGTAGGAATCGTCTGAGGTGAGGTTGTGCAAGATATCGATATAAGATGAAAAAAAAGAAAGGTCGAACTAGCGTCTCTGTGTGCAAATATTGGTGGCAGGGCTTCAATACGCATACTAACAATACGATAGTGATACAAGGATCCAGTCATTATTCACTGCAGCTCGTCCTTGGAGAGCCAGCATGCCATTGCGATCAATAGCTTGGCATTGTTTTTATAATACAATATGGTATCGTGCTGTCTTGCCATGTTTTATTTCATTCACTGCTTCCCTGCTTTTCCCCAGCCACCGAATAAACCATTGGCCACATTCGTGAGAACAATCGCCTTTATAAGCAGCGTATCATGGAAGAATCGAAGCAGTGAATCGTCGACTGTGGCAGAGAGATGCCGCCACAAGCCTAATATCAGACAAATCCTTATAGGTACCGACAATAGGAAGCAGCAAATAAACACAATGATAATTGCTATATATTACAGAGAAAATAGTGGCAATAGATAACTATATATCCTTAGCCTTACAGCTTATAGAGAGGATTCCAAAATAGACAAAGCTCTCTCAAGAAGGTATATGTCCAAATCCAGTAATAGAGGATCAAAAATCCTGTGGCTAGTCACTCCTGCTATACCTAATACTGCCTAACTGCAAAGATTGCCGTTCGAAATCTGCATCTGCCGTCATCTACTCCGAAACCCGTCAAGTGCGCTCCAACTGGACGGTCCTCGCGCATGCAGCTTGTTCTAGGCCTGGAAGTAGGTCCATACGTATAACCTATCTGATTAACGGGATTCCTGCAGTCTGCTAAAGCCCATTCTACTCCGTATTTGTGTACATACATGCAGTATGAGACTAGATCTCGCTGTGATAGCACTGTCGAGGCAGAGAATCAAAGAATCCCTTGGGCACTGTAGAAGGGCCGGTGACAGAGGGATCGATAAACTGGAGCACAAGATTTGGTTGTATAAATCCAGCCAAACCCACTGGTTGAGGAATCTCCTGCTCGTCCAGTGCATCTCGTGGAGTTCTATATGGTTAATGAGGCTATTCGATCGAAGCAATGAGAAGACGCATTCGGGCTGAGTCAGCCCGAGCGTGGTTTGGGGCTCTCCACTTGCCGAGTTTCTAACCGCAGTGGAGGAGCTTCATTTCGCAACGCCGTCCCCGGAATCTAATAAGGTCTCGGGATGAGTTACGGCATTCACAATCCCCGCACGTACCCCAGTTTGAGCAATAGCACTGCACACGCAGCCTCTCGCCATGGCCTCCCAACGTGGCTCGCCCGTGTCACTCCCGCCAATTGGAGCATTCAGTTTGTCGTTTTCTCATGATACGATTGCCGTTGTTTCTCTCCGTTTTCTCAGCCTTCTTCATGGCTGAACTCACCGGCTCCGGGGACACGTCCCTATTAAATGGGTTGTGAAACCCTTTGGCTACCTTCCTCGAGCGTCCTCCTTGTCCTTCATTTTCTTGTTCTGCGTCTACTGGGATTGTCTAATTTCTCTGTGTCCGATTCACCGGACCCTCTGCCCATTCCTCCTGCTACACGTACCTCCTCGATGGCAAGCTCCGACAAGTACGACATAGTTATTGTGGGCGCAGGCCCCGTGGGACTTCTTCTGTCCCTCTGTCTGTCCCGGTGGGGTTATAAGGTCAAGCACATTGATAACAGACCAGTGCCCACTGCGACGGGTCGCGCCGATGGCATCCAGCCGCGTTCTATGGAGATCCTCCGTAACCTGGGGCTGAAGCGCGCATTGATGGCATACGAGCCTGCGAAAGTCTTCGACGTAGCGTTCTGGGACCCCCTGCCAGGCGGCAAGGGTATTCATCGGACTGGAAACTGGCCCAGTTGCCCTCGGTTTATTGACACCAGATACCCTTTCACCACTCTCGTGCACCAGGGAAAGATTGAAAGGGTCTTTCTAGATGAAATAGCAAAGGCCGGCACCACAGTACAGCGTCCTTGGACGATCGTAGGGTTCAAAAATGATGGCAAGGATGAAACCTACCCGGTGGAGGTGAATTTGAAATGCCTCGACACGAACGTCATTGAGACTGTCCGAGCCAAATACTTGTTCAGCGGTGAGGGCGCAAGGAGCTTCGTGAGGGAGCAGCTGGGGATCAAAATCCACTACAAAGATCCTATCGCGTTCGTGTGGGGTGTCATGGATGGAGTCGTGCGGACGGATTTCCCGGACATTAAGGTGAGATCTATGGTCACCACAGGTCGCCAAAGTCTGCTAACAAGAAGATCAGACCAAATGCACGATTCACTCGGATAGCGGCTCGATCATGGTCATACCGCGTGAGGAAAACATGGTCCGACTCTATGTTCAAATCGCTTCCTCGACCGATCCGGACTGGAACCCGAGAAAAACCGCTACAGTCGAGGAAGTCCAAGCGGCGGCGAAGAAGATCCTCCGGCCGTACAGCATCGAATGGGATCGCGTCGAATGGTACTCGGTGTACCCGATCGGGCAGGGAATTGCTGAGAAATACACGTTGGATCACCGGATATTCATGGGAGGCGATGCCTGTCACACTCACAGCGTAAGTATATCCTCTCGAGCGATTCACGGTCGGTGCTAACTGAATTGAAGCCCAAGGCAGGCCAGGGTATGAACACTGCTTTCCACGACGCCCTTAATCTTGCATGGAAAATCCATGCCGTGGAGTCCGGCTTTGCTCAGCGATCCATCCTGGCCTCGTACGAGAGCGAACGCAAGAAGATTGCGGAGAACCTGTTGGATTTTGACAACAAATATGCTACCCTCTTCTCGAAACGTCCTCCATCGGCAGACGAGGTGGATTCTGCGAGCTCATACAATGCCAGTTCTGTGCAAAATGAATTCGTGGAGACCTTCAAGTCTGCCTGCGAATTCACCAGTGGATATGGAGTCGCGTACGAGCCGAATATCTTCAACTGGAGTCCCGATCACCCGGCCAAATCACCGTTATTTAACATTCCTGGGGTCAAATTGACCCCTGGACGGGCGTTCACTCCGACTTCAGTGACTCGACTTTCCGACGCCAATATCGTCCATCTCGAACAAGAGGTCCCAGCTAACGGTGCTTTCCGGATCTTTGTCTTTGCTGGCTCTCCATCGAAGACCAAGAAAGCGATCGAGGACTTTGCCGCCAACCTTGAGAAGGAACGATCCTTCCTCTCCGTGTACCGAAGACCAGACATTGCGAACGTCTCGTATTTTGAACGCCATAACCCTCATTCAAAGCTGTTCACGATCTGCGTGATATATGCTTCTGAGAAGAATGCCGTCGACTTGCAGACCCTACCGAGGATCATCAGAGACTACCATCACCATATTTACGCAGATGATATCCCTGATATTCGGGTACCGCAAGCCAAATACGCTGCGCATGAGAAGCTGGGTTTCGATCCTGAGAAGGGTGGCGTTGTGGTGACCCGGCCAGACAGCCATGTCGCCTGCACGATCCAGCTGGTGGAAGGAAATGGCACGGTCGACGCGCTGAACGAATATTTCGGCTCGTTTTCAACGAAGCCGCTTGGACAAAGCTCACAGTCGAGTCATCTTTAGATTTTTTTATGAGTGTGTTTGTAATGAATATGTAGAGCTGATGACTGTTTCTTTTCCGTAATATCATTAGTAATAAGTTGTTACTAAGTTAGCTTGTAATATTATTTTTCTTTTCTGACTTCAATGTAGGCACTTATGGAGGTATTTGTGTGGTGGCTGGTGTGGGAAACATTTGGTGCTGAGAATGGGCAGTATCGTTCTATGAGTTTTTCAACCCCGCGGCAGTGACATCGCCAGGCCCAAAAGTCCAGACGATTCCAGCCAAGCAACCCCGCAACAAAGAACCACGCGTCCCAGCAGTGATCGCCAACACGAAATACGACATCCATACAGAATCAGCTGTACTGCATTGCACCTAGCTGCCAAGAATGTTCGCGCTTGTGCTCTCTGCAGAGCTTAACGGGTGAGTACCGATTTTCTGGAGATTGCACCTGATTAATATGTACCGTACCAAGATGGATTGGATTTCAGATTCCTGCATCCTATCACATCCATTCATGATACTCTGTCGCGATGCAGGCAGAAATAAAATCCATTTGATACGTTTTTTTATTATCATCATCCTTACATTCTTTTGGCTGACTTTGAACAACTACTGGGGGAATAAATAATACAGAGTCACCAACCTCCGTCCTAAAGATACCGCTGAAGACCCGTACTACTACACCTTCAAGGTCCAATGCAACTCTTGTCATGAAACCCACCCCAACTGGGTGAGCTTCACTCGCTATGTGAGTGTCTTTCCCATTTCCCAGAGAGACTGTTCACTCTTCCTTCGGAAATAGACAAGTCGTTTCTTTTCTCTTTTCCCTTCTGTCCTTGATGTCCCTGATACAAGCAGCTAGCAAGGGGAGGGGGAAGGAAGAAACGTCAATTGATGGGTTTCAGGATCGACTAATTTGATGGCGCGAGAAAACAGGAGCAGCATGAGATTCCAGGAAGTCGTGGAGAGGCCAACTTTGTGTGGAAATGCAGGCTCTGCCAGGTATGTCTGCATGGTTTCTGACGATCTTTCCTTTCCTTCTCCTTGCTATTTTCCAAAAACAAAATGGCGATTGAGTGGCCAGGCAAACTGCCACGATTGAATCCCATAGCTTTGGAAGCTCGCTGCTAATCTCGTTGAGATCTACAAACTTTGTGACTCAATGCATTTAAACTAGTGCTGACCATACATGATGGGAATAGCAAACACACTCTGCCGTCATAACGGCAGGACCCAACGCGCTTCAACAATCGGAGGACAACAAATCCAAGGGACAGAAGATCATCGAATTTGACTGTCGCGGTCTCGAGTTTATCGAGTTCAAGCCTGATGTGAGTGCAGTCTCGAAGTGTTCCTGAAAAACGAAAAGAAGTCCAAGATTTGCGTGTTACAGACTCTGACCGTAGTGACATCCGTGAATATAGGGCGAGTGGGAAGCCAAAGGACTGGAGACTACTACAACATTCTCCAGCATCGATCTCTCCGAGGGCGAGTGGTACGATTACGACGAGAAGGCAGGCGAGGAGGTGAGCATCAAGGACGTGACCTGGGAGATCAAGAGGGCTTAAGGGCATCTCTCAATGCCTACGCGGCCTATCCATTAAAACTCCCAGTCATCGGAATTCATTGGTGCTATTAACGACTTTGTGAGGAAGATGCTGGTGTTCCTGTACTTTAGTGGGTAAATGGAAGTATTATGATGATGGGGCGAGGATTCGGAAGGGGAAAAACTCCAGGCATTTGAGGCGTTGAATTCGAGCTGCGGATTTGTTTTACCAGGAACTGTTTGTGAAACTCATATCATGAATCAAATAAATTGCAGAAAAAAGCAGATCAAGTGCAATATGACAGATGATTCTCACTGTTATTAAACGACGACGTTGTGCCTGCAATAATATCCTTGCCATTTTGTATGACCTCCGGGCGGTGAGGGAATCTCACTTCTGATTGGACAACTCCTCAGCGGAACTCATCCTGCGCGCAAAGGTATTCGCTTCGATCCCAGTCCACGCGCGACGGTACAAGACGAGAAGAGTTCCTTTTCCAGCCAGCGTACCCGGGGATTTGAGGCTGTGAGAAGAGATTTATCCTTCTTTTTGAACTGGGGATTATCTCTTTCTCCTTTTTCTTTCTTCTCCAAAGGGCGCTCCCGTGGAACCTAGCTGCCTACATCATAGCTTGCCCTTCGATCGAAGAGAGGATTTTATTATTTGGCAGTGACCAAAGTCTTGCGCAACGATGAGTGTTCGTTTTCTCCTTTTCTTTTCTGGCCATGACCTCCTTCTCTTAGTCAAGATGGGATATTCTTGTTGCTGATGTTGTGTGCTGACTCGTTCATTTGTGACTACAGTTCCAACCCGTGAACCCACGGCCTTTTCTCCAGGCCAGGTATGCCGTTGCTATCCTTCCCTCTCTTTGCCTTCCAGCAGTTGAAGAATTCGAGGATACCATCCTATTCTTCTTCCTGCCCAGCTACATGTGTACAACCCGAATTGGTGTTGATGCTAATGCGATTTTTGCAGAGTCGGCACGGAGATGATCATCCGGCTCAAATGGGGCCAGACGGAATACCGAGGCAAGCTCGAAAGTATCGATTCCTACATGAACGTGCTCCTGAGGGATACGGAGGAGTTCATTGACGGGAAGAACACGGGAACCCTGGGTTTGGTTCTGATAAGGTGCGTTCTGTGTGGGCTGCTGCCAGCCTGAACAACATGCTTTTGAGTATAGCTTGCCTCTGAATCTTACGGCAAGGCTGCAAATATGAGATGATCCAGGAATGGATGCTGACTTATGAGTATGTAGATGCAACAATATTCTCTGGATGGCTAGTGCCGATGGCGTGGAGATGACCGACCTAGGGTTGAAATAGAGCCATTTTTTTCAGAAAGAAATTCTTTTTTTTTTCCTGGTTGATGGAAATGACGTGCTGTGGGCACATATACCCGCTGAATTCTTCACACAAAGGCATGATTTATACCGCGAAAAAAAAAAAAGAGAAAGAAAAGGAATGGGAAACGCGAATCCCAAGAGTCACTTTCAGGCCACCGGTGTTTTACGATTGATGACTTCGAGTTAAAAATGGATGCAGCAGCGGAATACACATACGTCCTCTTTTTTTCTGCCTCGCAGTGACCTCGAAGGAATATCGAGAGATTCCGCTGCAAATTCGCGAAAAAAGCATGCTGGAACCATCAATGGGAAGTAGATAGGTGGTGTGGATATGGTCCTCGATAGAAGAAGGTTCCTGTTGAGCGACTTGGCTGGTTGCATACCCGCACGTGTGATGTTAGCTAGGTAATAATAGCTAAAATGCAAGAATAATACTAGCTGGTTACATAGTCGCTAATACGCATCCTACCGATGACTACTTATGGATATGCCGATGTACTGATTATTTCCTGCAGCCTGGACCTCCATACATTTATTTTTGATCACGTTTGTTTGTGATTCGCAACGCAATAGTCGTAAGAAAAGGACAGAATCCTCAAATTAAATGTGAAGCAATACGTTCCACGAGTTATCTTCCATGCGTTGAACACGTTGCATTAATTTTTTTTTTTTGCTTCCTTTCTTTCCTTTCTTCTTTACTTGTTTTTCTCCAGGTCAAAAGTAGGCTGAAAGTGTCTGATTCCCTGTGATATCTAGAGCTTGTACTCCGTATTCCGTATATCGGCGTACCGATACAAAGGCCGGCAACTGAACCGTGCGCTGGAGGACGAACCTAGGTTAAGTCCTGGCCGGTTGACGGACCGCTTCTAAGAATAGCGAGCCAAGCATACCCACATTGTCCCGCCTTATCTGCCTACCTAGGTGGGTAGGCCATCGGTACGGAGTTGACAGAGTAAGTAGCCATCTTCCGTACTGCATGGAGTACAGTACAGTTTTTGACTGCTATTCCCTTCGCTTTACGAGGTTTTTTTTTTTGACTTACCAGTTCGTATACTCTGTCCGCCTGCTGAGCGCCCCCCACACAGAGGCATATCCCTGATGTCATCTCGCACATGATCTGCTCACCAGTCGAATCCACGATGGCAAAATCAAAAAGACCATACGGAGCAATCCGCATAGAGGACAGAGAAATCAACGACTAGCACGAGTCTCAAGACCCATCCTGGTGGGCAGCACAGCTCTTTGATCTCGAATCTCGATCCTGGAGGCAGCCTGTGGAGCCAGGTTGCGCCGGGATGCGATTGGCCCAGGAACAGGCTGTCTCCATTGATCGGCCCCCTTGGATGCTTTGCTGCATTGCATGCCTCGAAGAAAAAACGCCCTCCGTTGTCCAATCTCCATCGCCCCAAAAGCCACAAAGGTCTCACTCCGAGTCACCTGGAGGGGCTCGTCTACGCAAGCCGGTTTTGCCTCTCTGGCTGGCTGGCTGGCTCCTGAGATACCCGAGGATCGCCGCCGTGTCCCGATCCTGACTGGTTTGCAGCATGACCGGTAGGATGTAGCCGTATCCGAGCGCTTTTTTCCAACGGGCCCGTGATGCTCGCAGGCAAACTTTGATAATCCAAATGTGGGGGATGATCGCGTCCAACCAGTGAAGTTATGAACTATACGCCCGAGGCGACGCGCGAAGAGAGAAGCAGGTAGTACTTACTAAGTAAGTTATCTTACCACTCAGAACTCAGCCTTTTTCTCCCAGGGTGGCTCGGCGACTAAATGTAGTTTAACTAGCTGGCCAGCTGCCTCGTACTCCGTATAGCAGGCAAAAAAGTTCTCCTCGTGTTCATCTCCATTTTCATCCTCATCCATCAAGCCGCGATCTGGAAATGCGGGTTCCGTGACCCTAGCCTCTCTTTTCCAACTGCCTTGCGAGGCCTCTCGCTATAACACCTTCAAACTACCTTACTGTCGCTAGCGATCTTTGTCGTGGTCGTGGTCGTGGCCTCTTTATCCTGTCTTTCTACGACTAGTCCTCACTACAGTACAACTCCGTACTACCTACCTACCTACCTACTTCTATGACTACGCCAACGCCAAACTCGTGGCGCTCGATTCCACAAAAGAACGAAGCACGCTTAAAAATAATATCTGCGTCTATCCCCACCTCCTGTTAACTGGACTTGACGCCCTCTCACCATGGCGTCGTCCAAGTTCATTGAGATCCTCGACGCCGACGCCGACGGGGCCTATCCCAAAATCTCCGACTCGGACGTCAAGCTCGAGGACGTGCTGGCCGACCACGAAGCCACCGTCAACCGATCGCGCTCGTCGACACAATCCTCCAGCAAGAGCAGTTTGGATAAGGAACGTTCTGATCGTGATGATCAAGCTCAACAAACTTCACCGGCGTCTCTCCGACTAAGGAGGTTGCGTATATTCACGTTCCCTGGACGATGAATACAAGAAAGAAACTATTGCTGTTGCTGCAAAACAAGACCTACCGAACAGAACCAGAGTCCGCGACTCACGAAATTTGAGCCTGATTGCTTGGATCTTACGACGCAGGAATTAGACTGAGACAAGAGTGCCCTGGTGGACTGATGGATGGACGATTACTCAGGATGATGATGATATTGATGATGTTGATGATGGATCTGGATATACACATTCTATTTACGACCTCTCTTTTTGCCCTCTGACGACGATACACGATAAAGAGCTTCGCATTTATTATTCATTTCACGCACTCATTTTTGATACCCCCTTGCTGTTGTCTTGACACACAGCGACCGACGAATATATGACTATGAGAGCTAGCTAGCTAGCTCTGGAAGCGAGACTTGAGTTTGGACATTGGAACCACATGGTTCAAGTTTGTGTATATCAGAAAGGAGCGTTGTTTCGTTAGAAAGACAGGAAGTCTTCTTGATACCGCTCGAAATTTGAAGATTTTTGTTCGGTATCTATAGATGAGAAGGCATGCCTTTTTTTTGCTACCTTGAGTGCAAATACATGGGGAGATATCTATTCGTCTATATGGCTTGCAACAATATATATATATATATATGCAGGAATTGAAAACTCTACCCATTATCATGCAGGAGACAAAAAAAAAGACATGGATGACCCCATCTCATGATCTGACTGGCTGGGATCTTGAAGGAATATTAATTTTCGATTTTTTTTTCTGAATTTTAGGTATTGTTAGGGAGTTCCTGGTGGAGGACTACTAAATCACGAATCATGCATTAATGTCCCAATGCTCAGCTGTTGGCAATAATATGGCAAGCCCTGCCGACACTCCCCTCTCCCCGTCCACTTCCCCTCGCCGGCCCCTCTCCGCTAGAGCCCCCAACTGTTAGAGGCCGGGACGAATGCACCTTGTGCATTTTAGTTTTAGCTTTAGAGAGGCGGCCTGAGCACAGCACAATTATTGTACTTGACAGGAAAATCGACGATGATACACCTATATATGGACATCCATGCATATCTACCTACCTACCTACCAGCCATACATGTACTCTTCCCCCAAATTGAACGCCTTTGACATCCATCCGGTTTAGTGTTGTTGCTTGGGCCACATGGCCACTTGAATTGGCACGTGTGAGAGCACGTGTTGGTCAGTCGCGTGATGTATAGAGCAATGTGCCTGCCTTAGGCATCTACAACGTGCCTAGGTACCTAGAACCTACCTACGCCGACACCCTATTCTATATCTACCTAACATAAATAGTAATTATATCCTGACTCGTTGCAAAATGGATGAGTTTGCTCGTCTCTGCAGTCTTTTCAAAAATTAGCATCTAGTTTTCTAATTACGAATAGCTGGTTTTGATCAAACATAGCAACCTTAGGTATCCAGGTACCTACCTACCTACCTGACTAGGTAGCTAGGTTGCGTGTGTTGCTTTTGGGATCATAATAGATTCAAGACAGCAGGAATCCAAACTGCACAGCGTATTTGAACTCGCTATTGCCATAAACCCGCCTTCAAGTCTGAAAAAATTATCAGAAAACTCTTCGTGCTCAGACATCGCTCGACACTCCACGCCGCAAAAGTCTGTTATTCATATTATTTGGCGTTCCTAGTATCTGTCATGTGTTTGTGGAAATGTACTACTTCGAACTGTCCACCATGAATTTGTATCTGTCTATAAAGAGACGACACTCACATTGTTGATTCTGTATCACCCAAGTCGCAGGCTCAGCTCGAATGACGACTAGAATGCCTGCAAATGCGCCTTAGCTACATACCAAGGCTGATCCAGCCCATTCAGTCGTCGATTTACATCCCAACCAGGCTACTCGAGCCCCTTGAAAGTGGCGGGGAAACAATTAATGAGTAGTGCCAGGGGAGCAGAAGTGGCCCAGCTTTGTTTTTGTTCTTTCGGTCTTCCTTTTTCCTTTTCGATTGTCAGAAATTCGAAGGTAGCTTCAAAGGCCTCTTGCCTGGGGAAATTTTTCTCTTCATGCTCTTCACCCTCCGCTGGTACTCTGCCCTTATTGATGCAAACCCTGCTCAAAAGTGGCCCGGAGAAAGGACCAGCAGACTATTCTCTAAATGGCGTCCCTGGACCGCATGTCGATGACGATAGAAAGCTAAATAATCACATAGTTTTTGTCAACATTCGTCGAGCCAGAGAAGAGCAGAATGGAGCAGTGCTCGCAGAGTCAATGATGCAGAGAAGGGTTTCAACATTTAATCACCAAGGAAAGAGACTTGTCCTTACAGAAATGCACATCGTCCAAACGCGTTTCATTTCCGGTTTGGAGGATGACCATGACATAGTCCTCAAATACAGGGTGAAGAGACTAACTAATAAGGTAAAGGAAGAAACAGACCTAATGATGTCTGTTCCTGATGGGGCCCAACACGGACGGATAGATCTCGACGCTCGTCACGACGATGATGAATATTTTGATTGTTTGATGCAGCAACATGTACATACAGTACAGTTTCGAGAGGCTGTCGGATGACCCCTTTGACCAGTCCAGTCGCCATCTCCCGAGCAAGCTTCTTGGATAGATAAAAAAAATGGAGGTCCATAAACAAAATATTCATCTGCTTAGACTCCGACTGCTGTTGTAGTTAGTCAGCTAGTCAGTGGGCATTGAATGCTCCTGCTGCATTATAGTTTGCAGCAAATGGACGCATTGTAGTATTGACCATCTTGACGGACCATGGAAGGATCAATAAAGAGGAAGATAAGGAGAGGGGAGTCGACTCGGCTTGTATGTACTCCGTATGTGTAACTAACTACCTGTTAACTGACTAGTTAACGTAATCGGACACCGAGCTGCCACGGACACCGAGCTGCCATGTCATCCACCACCACCCCCTAATCAAATTCGATGCGATTTGTTTTCAACGCACCATGCCATGGCTGATATATAAAAGGAAGGGCGTAGCAATTGGCAATTGAGGCCTATAAGAAAGGTCTTTTCTCATCAAAAAAGGCAGCTGCAGATGCGTTTGACGTGCCTCGAAGGACCCTTGGGACACGCCTTAATGGGACCACTTCTCGCAAAGATTCAATGGCAAATTGTCGAAAATTGACAGATACTGAAGAAACTACACTTTCAAAATGGATTCTTGATATGGACCGACGTGGCCTACCTCCGCGAATTTCAACCATACGCTATCTGGCACAGCTATTGCTCTGATTATCCTCAGATGCTACTGCCACCATTGGTGAGAAATGGGTGGACCGATTCATTAAGCGCCATAATGAGCTTTGCTCTAAATATACCCGAAAGTATGATTATCAACGAGCAAAATGTGAAGATCCAGAGCTCATTAAGGGGTGGTTCAAGCGGTTTCATGACACTATTCAAAAGTATGGGATCCTTGAGCAAGATATCTACAACATGGACGAGACTGGCTTCCAAATGGGTGTGATTTCAACTGCCAAAGTTATCTGTGGATCAGAAACACAAGAGAGTCATGCAAAAGCTATACGGCCTGGGAATCGTGAATGGGTTACTGCAATTGTTGCAGTAAATGCAGCTGGATGGGCCTTACCTCCACATATTATTCTTGCGGCAGAGAATTACCAATCTCAATGGTATCAAGCTATCCCAAAGGACTACCGAATCAGTGTCAGCAAGAATGGCTGGACAAATGATGAGATAGGCCTTGAATGGCTTCAGAAGACCTTCGAGACCTATACAGCTTCATACACAGTTGGGAGATATCGCCTATTGATTCTAGATGGGCATAGCAGCCATGCTACTGCAGGATTTGATAAATTCTGCACAGAGAAGAATATTATTCCTCTTTATATGCCATCACATTCTTCTCCCTGCTCCACCGCTTGA